TGATACAGACAGGCTGGTGAGATACTCTGATGGCAGACTGATACAGATAGGAGGCTGGTGAGATACTCTGATGGCAGACGATACATAGTGTGAAGTATCAGCAGAAGGCTGGTGAGATACTCTGATGGCAGACTGATACAGACAGGCTGGTGAGATACTCTGATGGCAGACTGATAAGACAGGAGGCTGGTGAGATACTCTGATGGCAGACTGATACAGATAGGCTGGTGAGATAATCTGATGGCAGACAGGAGGCTGGTGAGATACTCTGATGGCAGACTGATAAGACAGGAGGCTGGTGAGATACTCTGATGGCAGACTGATACAGACAGGAGGCTGGTGAGATACTCTGATGGCAGTGAAAGACAGGAGGCTGTGAGATACTCTGATGGCAGACTGATGAGACAGGAGGCTGGTGAGATACTCTGATGGCAGACTGATACAGACAGGAGGCTGGTGAGATACTCTGATGGCAGACTGATACAGACAGAGGCTGGTGAGATACTCTGATGGCAGACTGACAGACAGGAGGCTGGTGAGTTACTCTGATGGCAGACTGATACAGACAGGAGGCTGGTGAGATACTCTGATGGCAGACTGATACAGACAGGAGGCTGGTGAGATACTCTGATGGCAGACTGATAAAGACAGGAGGCTGGTGAGATACTCTGATGGCAGAGATTCAGACAGGAGGCTGGTGAGATACTCTGATGGCAGACTGATAAGACAGGAGGCTGGTGAGTTACTCTGATGGCAGACTGATACAGACAGGCTGGTGAGATACTCTGATGGCAGACTGATACAGACAGGAGGCTGGTGAGATACTCTGATGGCAGTTAGATACAGACAGGAGGCTGGTGAGATACTCTGATGGCAGACTGATAAAGACAGGAGGCTGGTGAGTTACTCTGATGGCAGACTGATACAGACAGGAGGCTGGTGAGATACTCTGATGGCAGATAGATACAGACAGGAGGCTGGTGAGATACTCTGATGGCAGACTGATACAGACAGGAGGCTGGTGAGTATACTCTGATGGCAGACTGATACAGACAGGAGGCTGGTGAGATACTCTGATGGCAGACTGATACAGACAGGCTGGTGAAATACTCTGATGGCAGACTGATCAGACAGGAGGCTGGTGAGTACTCTGATGCAGACTGATCGACAGAGTGTAGATATCAGACAACTGATAGACAGGCTGGTGAGATACTCTGATGGCAGACTGATACAGACAGGAGGCTGGTGAGTTACTCTGATGGCAGACTGATACAGACAGGAGCTGGTGAGATATCTGATGGCAGACATACAGACAGAGGCTGGTGAATACTTGATGGCAGACTGATACAGACAGGAGGCTGGTTAATGAGATATAGAATGGCGAACTGATGCAGACAGAAACAGGAGGCTGGTGAGATACTCTGATGGCAGACTGATACAGACAGGATGGCTGGTGAGATTGATTGCAGCCAGCTGCTGATGTGTATCTGTAGCCTGAACTCTAAACAGAGGAGCTGTGAAATGATTCAATAGTCTCCCTCCGCAATGCCGATCACCGACACACAGGTCTACTGTTTCCATAGTAACTTATCCTTCCTCCCACTCTCCCTTCTTTATTGAGTTAACTCCTTTTAGAAGAACACAGGGGTGCAGGAAGATAGATAGAAATGGCAGAAGGTGGATATTAATACCTTTCTGTTGGACTTCAAGCGATGCACATCGCACAGTACATTTTCTGCTGTGAGATTAAGTTATTCTATACTTCTGTACATTCCTAATAGTGGTCAAATGGTTTGCCTGCGAAAGCCCTCCTACACTCCTGAGAGACGTTTGGCTTTGAAACAGCCACCAGCACACAGACAACAGTCAGTCAGATCACTCAACAGGAGAGAGACAAATACAGGTTTTATTTTAATTTCAGTCAAGTTTGTTCATCCATTCATGCTCAGTCTAACAAATCCAAGACACCAGCTAAACAGTACATTTTAACATTTTTTAAACATTTACCATTTTAGTCCATTTAGCAGACGCTTCTATTAACCCAGAGGCGACTTACAGGAGCAATTAGGGTTAAGTGCCCTTGCTCAGGGCCACATTAAACGTCATTTAGCAGACGCTCTTAGCCATAGCGACTCCAACAAAGAGGCTATGTTCCTCTACATTGCATCGGATTGCTAGTGAATCCATAACATGGACAGTAGTGGCAGCATTGAGAACCAACTGTGACATGCAGCCTTCTTCACAGAGATTACAACATACTCAAGAACCATCATTCCCATGTTACTCAGTACTCCTTCCTTGGTTGAGGAAAACATTTAATTTAATTTTCATTTCTTTATGAAGAAGCGAGTGATGTCTGAAGCCACCTTGGAGGCTGCCAGTCCTTTCTTCTTCTGGCTTCTGTCTTTGGCTTGCTGATTTGTCCTCTGTAAAACAAACAGCATACTGACATCAATAATCTGTCCTCTGTAAAACAAACAGCATACTGACATCAATAATCTGTCCTCTGTAAAACAAACAGCATACTGACATCAATAATCTGTCCTCTGTAAAACAAACAGCATACTGACATCAATAATCTGTCCTTGTAAAACAAACAGCATACTGACATCATAATCTGTCCTCTGTAAAACAAACAGCATACTGACATCAATAATCTGTCCTCTGTAAACAAACAGCATACTGACATCAATAATCTGTCCTCTGTAAACAAACAGCATACTGACATCAATAATCTGATCTGATATACACTGACTGGTGTTGTATTATAACATGGTGGTGTATTATATTATAACATGGTATTAATTATTAATAACATGGTGGTGTTTATATTATAACATGGTATTATATTATAACATGGTGGTGTATTATATTATAACATGGTATTATATTATAACATGGTGGTGTATTATATTATAACATGGTATTATATTATAACATGGTGGTGTATTATATTATAACATGGTATTATATTATAACATGGTGGTGTATTATATTATAACATGGTATTATATTATAACATGGTGGTGTATTATATTGCGACTCACAATTGGTGCGTTCACCTATAGCCGTGGGATAACCACTTTACAATTTGGGGGGGGGGGGGGGGGGGGGGTTAGAAGGAATACTTTAGCCTATCCCAGGTATTCCTTAAAGAGGTGGGGTTTCAAATGTCTCCGGAAGGTGGTGAGTGACTCCGCTGTCCTGGCGTCGTGAGGGAGCTTGTTCCACCATTGGGGTGCCAGAGCAGCGAACAGTTTTGACTGGGCTGAGGGGGAGCTGTGCTTCCGCAGAGGAAGGGGAGCCAGCAGGCCAGAGGTGGATGAACGCAATGTCCTCGTTTGGGTGTAGGGACTGATCAGAGCCTGAAGGTACAGGGGTGCCGTTCCCCTCACTGCTCCAAAGGCAAGCACCATGGTCTTGTAGCGGATGCGAGCTTCAATTGGAAGCCAGTGGAGTGTGCGGAGGAGGGGGGTGACGTGAGAGAACTTGGGAAGGTTGAACACCAGACGGGCTGCGGCATTCTGGATGAGTTGTAGGGGTTTAATGGCACAGGCAGGGAGCCCAGCCAACAGCGAGTTGCAGTAGTCCAGACGGGAGATGACAAGTGCCTGGACCAGGACCTGCGCCGCTTCCTGTGTAAGGCAGGGTCGCACTCTCCGAATGTTGTAGAGCATGAACCTGCAGGAGCGGGTCACCGCCTTGATGTTGGCGGAGAACGACAGGGTGTTGTCCAGGGTCACGCCTAGGCTCTTCGCACTCTGGGAGGAGGACACAGCGGAGTTGTCTACCGTGATGGGGAGATCATGGAACGGGCAGTCCTTCCCGGGGAGGAAGAGCAGCTCCGTCTTGCCAGGGTTCAGCTTGAGGTGGTGATCCGTCATCCATACTGATATGTCTGCCAGACATGCAGAGATGCGATTCGCCACCTGGTGATCAGAAGGGGGAAAGGAGAAGATTAGTTGTGTATCGTCAGCGTAGCAATGATAGGAAAGGCCATGTGAGGATATGACAGAGCCAAGTGACTTGGTGTATAGGGAGAAAAGGAGAGGGCCCAAAACCGATCCCTGGGGGACACCAGTGGTGAGAGCACGTGGTGCGGAGACAGCTTCCCGCCACGCCACTTGGTAGGAGCGACCGGTCAGGTAGGACGCAATCCAGGAGTGAGCCGCGCCGGAGATGCCCATTTCGGAGAGGGTGGAGAGGAGGATCTGATGGTTCACAGTATCAAAGGCAGCAGACAGATCTAGAAGGACAAGAGCAGAGGAGAGAGAGTTAGCTTTAGCAGTGCGGAGAGTCTCTGTGACACAGAGAAGAGCAGTCTCAGTTGAATGACCAGTCCTGAAACCTGATTGGTTTGGATCAAGAAGGTCATTCTGAGAGAGGCATCACAGGGACCTTTCAACTAGGCTACATGTAGAGGACATAGGAAAAGACTTGCTTGTGAAATCCTGTCAAGATGTAAACTAGAGTATCACACATCTCAGGGTTTTTCTACCAAGTTTGCACAACCTAAAATAGCAGCGAGCGCTCAGCAGGCAGGCAGGCACTTCAAACAGGCAGCAGCCTGCCCAGCTTGGTTCAGTTCAGCCTGCATCTGAGCTAGATAAGCCCGTTATAAATCAACCCAGGCTCACTGCTGACGGTTCGGGGACAACATGCGAAGGAGCAGAGCTGCGCATTTGATACAGGCAGCATTGTTTAGTTAACTCTATTCAGGTAACTCAACAAAAGCAACCCTGAAACAACAGTCTTGAGTTTTCACACCAACACTCTCAATGATCGAACTTCAACATTATGAAATTGAAGGAAGAGGCTATGTTCCTCTATATTGCATCGGATTGCTAGTGAATCCATAACATGGACAGTAGTGGCAGCATTGAGAACCAACTGTGACATGCAGCCTTCTTCACAGAGATTACAACATACTCAAGAACCATCATTCCCATGTTACTCAGTACTCCTTCCTTGGTTGAGGAAAACATTTAATTTAATTTTCATTTCTTTATGAAGAAGCGAGTGATGTCTGAAGCCACCTTGGAGGCTGCCAGTCCTTTCTTCTTCTGGCTTCTGTCTTTGGCTTGCTGATTTGTCCTCTGTAAAACAAACAGCATACTGACATCAATAATCTGATCTGATATACACTGACTGGTGTTGTATTATAACATGGTGGTGTATTATATTATAACATGGTATTATATTATAACATGGTGGTGTATTATATTATAACATGGTATTATATTATAGACATGGTGGGTATTAATTATAACTGGTGGTATTATATTATACACATTGTGGTGTATTATAACATGGTGGTGTATTATTATAACATCGTTCTATTATAACATGGGGGTGTATTATACCCTGTAATTTATGAAACATGGTGGTGTATTATAACAAACTGGGTATTATATTATAACATGGTGGTGTATTATATAACATGGTATTATATTATCACATGGTGTTGTATTATATTATAACATGGTATTATATTATAACATGGTATTATATTATAACATGGTGGTGTATTATATTATAACATGGTATTATATAACATGGTGGTGTATTATAACATGGTATTATATTATAACATGGTGGTGTATTATATAACATGGTATTATATTATAACATGGTGGTGTATTATATTATAACATGGTATTATATTATAACATGGTGGTGTATTATATTATAACATGGTATTATATTATAACATGGTGGTGTATTATATTATAACATGGTATTATATTATAACATGGTATTATATTATAACATGGTGGTGTATTATATTATAACATGGTATTATATTATAACATGGTATTATATTATAACATGGTGGTGTATTATATTATAACATGGTGGTGTATTATATTATAACATGGTATTATATTATAACATGGTATTATATTATAACATGGTATTATATTATAACATGGTATTATATTATAACATGGTGGTGTATTATATTATAACATGGTGGTGGTTTGAGAGGGCATATGGCTTGGTTGTAATGAAGCACCATGTGGGACTGAGTGTGTATAAGAACACAAGGAGGAGTGGGGACCAGAGTGGACCAGAGTGGACCAGAGGGGACCTGAGTGGACCAGAGTGGACCTGAGTGGACCAGAGCGGACCAGAGGGGACCAGAGCGGACCAGAGTGGACCAGAGCGGACCTGAGTGGACCAGAGTGGACCAGAGGGGACCTGAGTGGACCAGAGTGGACCTGAGTGGACCAGAGGGGACCTGAGTGGACCAGAGCGGACCAGAGTGGACCAGAGTGTGTATGTGAACAGATGGAAGAGAGGGGACCAGAGTGGGGAACAGAGTGGACCAGAGTGGGGAACAGAGTGGACCAGAGTGGGGAACAGAGTGGACCAGAGTGGGGAACAGAGGGGACCAGAGTGGGGAACAGAGTGGACCAGAGTGGGGAACAGAGGGGACCAGAGTGGGGACCAGAGTGGGGAACAGAGTGGACCAGAGTGGGGAACAGAGTGGACCAGAGTGGGGACCAGAGTGGGGAACAGAGTGGACCAGAGTGGGGGACCAGAGTGGGGAACAGAGTGGGGACCAGAGTGGGGAACAGAGTGGACCAGAGTGGGGAACAGAGTGGACCAGAGTGGGGACAGAGTGGACCAGAGTGGGGACCAGAGTGGACCAGAGTGGGGAACAGAGTGGACCAGAGTGGGGACCAGAGTGGGGAACAGAGTGGACCAGAGTGGGGAACAGAGTGGGGAACAGAGTGGACCAGAGTGGGGAACAGAGTGGACCAGAGTGGGGACCAGAGTGGGGAACAGAGTGTAGAACAGAGTGGGGAACAGAGTGGACCAGAGTGGGGAACAGAGTGGACCAGAGTGGGGACCAGAGTGGGGAACAGAGTGGACCAGAGTGGGGACCAGAGTGGGGAACAGAGTGGGGACCAGAGTGGACCAGAGTGGGGAACAGAGTGGACCAGAGTGGGGAACAGAGTGTGTATGTGAACACAAGGAGTGGGGACCAGAGTGGACCAGGTCCCTTGTGGTTACATGGCAGACGGTGCGGTTTGTCCAATGAACACTGTGTGTGTGATGGAGTGTGTGTGCATACGCACAGTGTGTGTGTGTGTGTGTGTGTGTACTGGACTCTTACGGTTCTGTGGCAGATGGTGCAGAGTGTTTGTAGGTTGTCCAGGGAACACTGTCCTCCTCCACTGTAGACGGGACGGATGTGGTCCACCTGCCAGAACTGACCCTCCACGGGGGCACGGATCATCTCATTCAGCTGGACACAACACAGAAAACTGTAATAAATACATTTCTAAGTAAAGGGTTAGTACAATCCCCCCCCCCCCCCCCCCGCCAAATTGTAAACAAACAATTTGGTGTAAGAAATATTCGTAAAATCCCCTGTGAGTTTTGTCCATGCGTTTTTCATAATAGCATGGTGCCAGCCTTCCCAGAATCACATTTCCTCGGACTGGCTGTTTGTCTGTGTCTGTCTGTCTCTCTTCAGACACCGGGGCTGCTCTTTAGACACAGGGGCTGCTGAGTGAGAATGACAAGGCTCTAATGTAAGAGAATGAGCTGGGGACTCTGGGAACAGGTAGGAAATCAAACGCCTGTAATTCTAGTTCTATGGCCGGGAGCTGGGGAACACTAGAACCAAAATGGAGGCATTTTCAATTTGAAGCTAAGCCTTTCCTTTTCTCCATTTTATGTGGAAAGAGCCAGGGAAGGGAACGATTCAGCCCAGAAATCAATCTCCATTCCTGGGTAGAAGCGGTAGCTAGAGTAGCGCTCTCCCATCAATAGCCACAAGAGAACCGGCGGGGGGGGTTTACATACCCACAGAAGAAGAAAAGCAATGCTGTACTCAGGAGCCAGTTCTGTTCCGCCACTACTACCGCCCCACAGGACATTCACTGCCTGCATACCCCTACTGCTACTGGACCTTGAGTCCTCAGCCCTCCTATACACCGCACCAATACATTGTATTATCGGCAGTTGTTCTTGGTGGTTTTGTGCAGTACAGAGGCCCTGTTAGTGTTAGGCCAAATCCAGCCATTGATCTGTGAGAGAGAAGGTACTCGTTAGGTCTTTACAGTAGAAATGGCAGAGCCAATCAATCAGGCTCTTGGCTGAGCTGTGGGAGAAATCAATGGAGGATCTGACAGTCCTGGACAATCTATTTACTGTGAGCTGATAAAGAGGAAGACAGACACACACACAGGCTGAGAGAGGACCTTGTGTGTCTACAGTACAGTACACCCTCTCCACCCACACCCCCTCCACACACACACACCCCCTCCACCCACCCACACACCCCCTCCACACACACACACCCCCTCCACACACACACACACACCCCCTCCACCCACACCCCCTCCACCCACACACACACCCCCTCCACCCACCCTCACACCCCCTCCACCCACACACACACCCCCTCCACACACACACACACACACCCCCTCCACACACACACCCTCCACCCACACACACACCCCCTCCACACACACCCCTTCCACACACGCCCTCCACCCACATATCTAATAGTTCATCTTCCCCCAGCACAAAGCAGCAGATTCCAGGGAAGATAGAAGGTGTTGGTGTTGTTGTAACCCCCTTGAGCAGTGTGTCAGTCAGCAGTAGAGAGGACTGATTCCCTCTCTTTCCCTCTCTTTCTCCTCTTCTCTCTCTCTCCCATTGTATAATATAATATACTAAAGCCTTTCGTCTCTCCCCAGATGGTTGGAACAGGTGCAACCCTTCTGTTCTCAACGCTACACACTGATTTATATAATAAGTGGCTAAAATTGTCCAAATGGGTACTATACATTTCAGTTGAGTGTTTTCTGTAGAACTTCATTAATGTGATATGCTAATTTGAGAAGAGAGAGATTATGCTGCGTTTTGATAAATCCAGTTGAAAATTAGCCCACATCAATAGTGGGACTTTTACACTCCTGTACTTATCTATTCTCTGTGTCTGTGTAGATTTGTGAAGCTTAAAAAGCTAATTTCGGTAAAGGGCACATTAAGTGATGTAGAAGATTGTATCCTGGCTAAGAGAGGTCAGGTAGTGTAGGTCAGACCCCAAACACAGTAATGGAACGGTCCTAGGTCCCTCTCTGCATCACTCACCTGTTGGGGGCTAAAGAGATCCAAACCAACCAACCTGTTTGAGTGACAGCTGGGCCAGCCAGGTGTTCTCTAGCATCTCCTTCCTGTGTGTGGGCGGGGCGTCGCGGACCTTCAGGTACAGCTGGTGGGCTTGCAGGCCGCAGCTCTGACACACCCCCTGCTCCGTCTGCAGTACCCGGGCACGCATATAGGCCTGGCTGGAGCGCAGCTGGAACTCCTCTTGACACCTTTGATAGGATAGATGAAGTAGAACAGAACTACTTTATTTTCCCCCATGAGGAAACATTTAGTTTGTAGAGCTTTAATAAAGGAAGACAGTAGGCCTGCTAGGATATACAACATCACTGACCTGTTAACTTGGCTTTACTAATGCTGCTACTTACTTTTGGCTACAGAAGCGGGTGTCCCAGGCCCCTCCGGTGGACCCACAGGCCTTATGGCAGGACAGGCACAGGGGCCGACCTTCACTGTCCACCGCCTGCAGGTACCCAGCTTCAGCCTCTGACGGACCCTCAGGAGGACCAACAGGAGGCTCTGGGTGCACCTCAGATGTCCTGGGGGGAGGAGAGAGACAGACAGAGAGAGAGACAGAGAGACAGAGAGAGAGAGAGAGAGAGAGAGAGAGAGATAGAGCGCATGTCAGTCAACTGCCCAACAAGTGAATAAACAGTATTAACCCACTGGGCACAGACGTCAATTCCACCTTGGTTTAATGTAATTTCTTTGAAACAACGTTGATTCAACCAGTGTATATTACTATACAGTTACAATGCATTAATTCAATAGGAACATCTACATCTAAGCAGGCTTTTGGGAGCTGGGACATATGGTTGTTAGCGGTGTGTGCCCTCCTCCTGGCTGGAGAGGCAGAGGGAGAGGAAGGGGAGCCTGGACCACTGCCACAGTGTGTGTGTACTACAGTGTTCCACCAGGGTACTGCCCGTTGACATATTAGGGAACAGATGGGACACGGCTCTCTGGAGCGCCCCCGATGGTCCTCAACCAATCAGCAAGACTCGCTGGGTGAGAGAGAAAGAGCCAGTCCCTGTGGTGGTTGCCATAGCGATGTGCTCCATCTATCCACCAAGCCGTCGGTCCCTTGCCTCTAAAACAGTGGATTATAGCCTGGTCCCTCTGTGCTAAACACTCACTGGTCCCACAGCATCATGTAAAGGCCAGGACATACAGTCTCAGAAGACATAGACAAGAGTTCATTGAGCCTCACTGGCGAAACCCACGAAAACACAGACTTACTTCAACCACCTAAATGTCAACTGAGGACACATTTAGTTCCTTGGGTATTGAACACAATTGTGCAGACAGGACATACAGTGGTCTTTCAATGTAATATAATTCCAATGTCGAGGAGAAAGTTTTACAACATGAACTAGTGTTGCTATGACTATAGGAGACTGCAGACCTACTTCACTGGGACGGTGGTAGAGGTGTTGGGTAGCGAGATAGAGGTAGATCTCCTCTTGGTGAAGAAGCTCTCCTTGTTGACCATGCGGACAGTTCCTCCATCACACTGGGCCTTACTGAGAGAGGCCTGGGACACGTCTTCTTTGGTTAGGTACCTGGATGAGGGGAGGAAGAGTATGGTTAGGTACCTGGATGAGGGGAGGAAGAGTATGGTTAGGTACCTGGATGAGGGGAGGAAGAGTATGGTAGTACCTGGATGAGGGGAGGAAGGAGGAAGAGGAAGAGTATGGTCATACCTGGATGAGGGGAGGAGGAGAGAGGTATGGTCAGATACTGGATGGGGAGAGAGAGGAGGAAGGTATGGTCAGATACCTGGATGAGGGGAGGAAGGAGGAGGAGAGGAAGAGTATGGTCAGATACCTGGATGAGGGGAGGAAGGAGGAGGAGAGGAAGAGTATGGTCAGATACCTGGATGAGGGGAGGAAGGAGGAGGAGAGGAAGAGTATGGTCAGATACCTGGATGAGGGGAGGAAGGAGGAGAGGAAGAGTATGGTCAGATACCTGGATGAGGGAGGAAGAGGAGGAGAGGAAGAGTATGGTCAGATAGCTGGATGAGGGGAAGAAGGGAGGAGAGGAAGAGTATGGTCAGATACCTGGATGAGGGGAGGAAGGAGGAGAGGAAGAGTATGGTCAGATAGCTGGATGAGGGGAAGAAGGAGGAGAGGAAGAGTATGGTCAGATACCTGGATGAGGGGAAGAAGGAGGAGGAGAGGAAGAGTATGGTCAGATACCTGGATGAGGGGAGGAAGAGAAGGAGGAGAGGAAGAGTATGGTCAGATACCTGGATGAGGGGAGGAAGGAGGAGGAGAGGAAGAGTATGGTCAGATACCTGGATGAGGGGAGGAAGGAGGATGGGGACACATCAAAGAGGAGGAATCTTGAAGAAAGGAGGAGGAGGAAGAAGAGAGGAAGGGGCAGATCTGCATGAAAGAGAGAAGGGGAGAGGGGACTCTTGGGCTTCAAACAGCGCAGTATAGAGAGGCTGGATGAAAAGACATGAAAGCTAGGTCCAACTGACAGTAGTACTGAGAGGTGTGGGGCGGAGGGGTGTGTGTGTGTGTGTGTGTGTGTGTGTGTGTGTGTGTGTGTGTGTGTGTGTGTCTAAAAGGCTAAACTGATCCTATATCAGCAGCACTCCTACTCGGACTCTCTTTGTGAATACAGCCCTGATCCTTTAGGATAACCCAGCACAGCACTACAGCAGAGTCTAACTGACTACAGGATAATCGCCTTCTCAACCAGCTCCTTACAACAAGATAATCACCTTCTCATCCAGCTCCTTACTACAGGATAATCACCTTCTCATCCAGCTCCTTACTACAGGATAATCGCCTTCTCAACCAGCTCCTTACAACAAGATAATCACCTTCTCATCCAGCTCCTTATTACAAGATAATCACCTTCTCATCCAGCTCCTTACTACAGGATAATCACCTTCTCATCCAGCTCCTTATTACAAGATAATCACCTTCTCATCCAGCTCCTTACTACAAGATAATCACCTTCTCATCCACTCCTTACTGCAAGATAATCACCTTCTCATCCAGCTCCTTACTACAGGATAATCACCTTCTCATCCAGCTCCTTACTACAAGATAATCCCGTTCTCATCCAGCTCCTTACTACAAGATAATCACCTTCTCATCCAGCTCTTACTACAAGATAATCGCCTTCATCCATCTCCTTACTACAAGATAATCTCTTCTCATCCAGCTCCTTACTACAAGATAATCACCTTCTCATCCACTCATTACTCTACAAAGATATCCCCTTCTCACACAGCTCCTTACTACAAGATAATCACCTCTCACCGCTCCTTCTACAAGATCCACCTTCTCATCCATCTCCGTACTACAAGATAATCACCTTCCCATCCATCTCCTTACTCCTGTATTGTATTAGCTCAGTCACAGAGTGAATCTCTACCTCTGTAGGAACCAGGGTTCCCAGTTGGACTTCGTTTCTACCATACTTTCTCAGCATGAAGTCTTTAACCAACATATCATCTTTGGAAATCAGCTTGATGTGCAGTCAATGGGGTAAACCTTGATTGGCCTTGATTAGAGAATAAATCCCACATTCTGTCAAATCAGTGGTTTGCAGAGTCAGATTTCCTCCTACGTCCACTGTGATTGGCTCTTGAGACACCCCCACATGAACCTGGATTAATCAGTGATTAGCTGATGCTGCCCGGGCACCAACACAGGAGGATGGAGACATAGGATAGGTCCAATCCCTCCCCCCCACCTACCTCTTGGAGGATGGAGACATCGGATAGGTCCAATCCCTCCCCCCCACCTACCTCTTGGAGGATGGAGACATAGGATAGGTCCAATCCCCCCCCCCCACCTACCTCTTGGTGCTGCTGTGTTTGCGCTGGGTGCTGGTCAGCTCGTCCAGGGCCAGGACTGGGCTGCAGAACAGGAGACCACTGCGGCGGATCAATCTCTGCTTCATGGCTGTCAGAGTGCTCCACTGCTGCACAAACCTCAAGATCTGACCCACACAGAGGGAGTCACATCAACACCACATTAAAGCAGTTAAACAAAGACACAATCTGTAATTTGTTTTATAGCCAAACGGCAGCCACAGTAAATGAAATGACCATTGAACAGTACCTTTAAATGACTGTACCTTTAAATGTCTCCCTCTAGGTGACAGCTTCCCTGTAGTGACTACAGTGATGTCTCCCTCTAGGTGACAGCTTCCCTGTAGTGACTACAGTGATGTCTCCCTCTAGGTGACAGCTTCCCTGTAGTGACTACAGTGATGTCTCCCTCTAGGTGACAGCTTCCCTGTAGTGACTACAGTGATGTCTCCCTCTAGGTGACAGCTTCCCTGTAGTGACTACAGTGATGTCCTCCCTCTAGGTGACAGCTTCCCTGTAGTCAACTACAGTGAATGTCTCCCTCTAGGTTGACAGCTTCCCTGTAGTGACTACAGTGATGTCTCCTTCTAGGTGACAGCTTCCCTGTTAGTGACTACAGTGATGTCTCCCTCTAGGTGACAGCTTCCCTGTAGTGACTACAGTGATGTCTCCCTCTAGGTGACAGCTTCCCCCTGTAGTCACTAAGTGGATGTTCCCTCTAGTGACAGCTTCCCTGTAGTGACTACAGTGATGTCTCCTCTAGGTGACAGCTTCCCTGTAGTGACTACAGTGATGTCTCCCTCTAGGTGACAGCTTCCCTGTAGTCACTACAGTGATGTCTCCCTCTAGGTGACAGCTTCCCTGTAGTGACTACAGTGATGTCTCCCTCTAGGTGACAGCTTCCCTGTAGTGACTACAGTGATGTCTCCCTCTAGGTGACAGCTTCCCTGTAGTGACTACAGTGATGTCTCCCTCTAGGTGACAGCTTCCCTGTAGTGACTAGACTACAGTGTTGTCTACTTGCAGGTCAAACAAACCGACCTGTGTCCTGTTCTCTCTGCGTCTGAAGGCTTCAGGTAGGTCCTCCCAGCTGTCCAGTTTGATGTCCAGAGGAATGAAGTTCCAGTGCAGTGGACTGTCCTCCTGATGAAGAGAGAATAAATTAGACAGCTTAAAACACATTCACACACTTCAACTGGGCATCGCAACCTATTTTAAAAAGACATTTGACGGCCAATTCCTCATACGTAATACTTTACATTTCGCTGTTGATTAAATCAATTTCTGAATAATGTGGATTAAGCAACTCGGACATGATTTAAAAGGGTAAACCACATCTGATTTATGCCTTAAAAGGGTATTATTATGTTGAAGAAGGTAGATAGATGCTTATCCTTTGATGGTACATAAGAGGTCTGTCACAGAAAATATCCCATTAACATTTCAATTGGTCACTCATATCAAAGACATGTTAGACTCCAGGTATTAAAGGAAAGATGGCAGATGAAGGAGCAGGAGGAGGAGGAATAGGAGGGGAAGGAGGAGGAGGAGGAAGAGGAGGAGAGAGGGGAAGGAGGAGGAGGAGAGAGGGGAAGGAAGAGGAGGAGGAAGAGGAGGAAGGAGGAGAAGGAGAAGAAGAAGGAGGAGGAGTAGTGTTGAGTACAGAGTAGAAGCACCGTCATGTACCTTGGAGTAAAGATAGATACGGTCAGTGTTCTTGCTGGCGCAGAACTTCATGTTGGGGTACAGGGGGAGACTGGCCATAGTGTCCTCATCATCAGCAGGACTAGATACACTGTCTGTCTGGGCTGCAGGGAGGGAGAGAGGGAGAGAAAAGAAAGGTCATTACGGTCTAGGGGTGAGGCTCCCGAATGATGGCAACGCCTGCAAGAAAAGGTACATTGGTGGAAATTAGACTCTATAATCCATCTAGGAGGGACCTCCACAGTACACAGGAGCCTTAGTTAGAATAGATAGGATGTCTATGTAGGTGGGCGACAGTATATTGTTGCTATTTTAGTTCTAACTGAATTTGGTGTGATGTGAATACTGCATTAAAATGGGGCGGTTTATAAGACTGGGGTAATTCATCTTACAAAGTACTCTTATTAGGATGTCACTGCACAGAATATGAACGCTAGCTGCCCACAGTAGACCTCAGGGAGTTAACTTGTCATTCCACAGTCCTCCTTGGTCTAATTGGTCTGAGTCACCTTGTCTAGTCTTCTAGAATCTAATGCCTCTCTGTCGTCTAGAATTCATTATCTCTCTCTCCCTCTCTCATAGGTCACTTTTATTGGTCCACTGCACTGTTCCACATTAACCCTGAGACTGAGGAATGGCTGTCTGTAAATAGAACACCCAGCCACTAGTGTCACATCACCATCAGAAGTGAGTGACATGACACAAGGCCATTAGCTGCCATTCATTGTCCACAATGGGAAAGACAAGACGAGGCAGGATCTGGACATATTTCTGGATCAGAATGTGTGATGTGTTTTGATGACTCTGGATGAAAGCATGCAGGGGTGTTTGGATCTGGTTGATGCTGTTGAGGGTGTTAATTAATGTACTGACAGACAGACAGACAGGCTGGCGAGGGGCGATAATATGACTCCTCCTGACACATACATACAGTAGAAACGTCTTCTTCTTACAGAGTTATTGAATAAATTCACTTCTGTTTTCAGAGTAATTAAAAAGCAATGAAAAAATGCAAAATACACATAAAATAAAATCAATTCCATGAACCTATACTTCAGAGCCAGTTGAATCCCATATGGCATGCTGTGAAGAGAATAAACAGGCAATATCCTCTACTACAATAACAACAACAATAATAATAATAATAATAATATAATAATAATAATAATGATAGTAATATGCATCACACACCCCCTTACCCATTCGCCACACATGGGAGGGAGGCAGCATATTGATGATTACCTCAGAGTGATCGATATCATTACAGCATTATACCATCTGGGTAACTATTCACCCCAGACAATATCCCCCAGAGGAAAAGACAAAAGGGAAGGAGGGAAGGAGGAAAGGGAAGATTAAAGTTGGATTACCATCAGTGTGATCATGAGGGGCTGACTGGTTCTCTACTGGTGATTGTTTGCCTTTGAGCCTCTCCTCCTCCTGATCTCTCTGTTGACTGTCTGTCTGTCTCTCCTCCTCCTGATCTCTCTGTTGACTGTCTGTCTGTCTCTCCTCCTCCTGATCTCTCTGTTGACTGTCTGTCTGTCTCTCCTCCTCCTGATCTCTCTGTTGACCGTCTGTCTGTCTCTCCTCCTCCTGATCTCTCTGTTGACCGTCTGTCTGTGGTACAGTTGTACTGAGAGAGGCAGGACCAGGACAGGGGGTGTCCTCCTGCTCGCTGTCTGACCCAGAGAGGATGATCCAGGGGTGTTCTCTAGGGGTGGACTGATCACGCCTGGAGCCTGGGGACACAGCATGTGAACCTGTAGACTGTGAGTGTGGAGCTGAGAGGTGGAAAAGAGAAAACACAACAAGGTCCTTTATAGATTGACATGTAGCCTAGCAGTTCATATCAGTGTATAACACATGGAAAACTACACAGATTAGATTTATACAGTTGTGTTCAGTGAAATGTACATAGGCCAAGATTACAGTAAGTAGTCCAAAGAACTGTTAGGGGAGCAGAGACGCAATGCTTCACACAGTCACAAAAATAATGCTTGAATTCAAATGTGAGCAGCTGCTTGTTGAGAGAGACAGATTCTTGTCATTCTGCTCAGACAGTGTGGAATACTTGTGACTTGGTGACACGCGGTGAAAACTAGACATCAATATGTAACTGATTCTCAACTCAAAGTTAATCTGTGGGCAATCTTTGGATAAATTGCGACATCCTGAAATTGTTTTATTTTGTTGGGTTTGTGGACGTCGCAGAACAGTGGAAGAACTAACTTCTAATAGACTAATTCACGATGTTTCCATTGTGAGGTGTGTTTCTGAAAGGCCACCCTCTTATAGATTTTCTCAAATGTCACCTGAATTTACCAGCGCCCCGACTCCGAGCCCCTACAATTAACGAGCTGAGGGGACAAGAGACTGCAGCTCAATTCTCCTCAGACTAGTCTACTGTCTGCCAAACAAGACATTCTCCTCAGACTAGACTACTGCCTGCCAAACAAGACATTCTCCTCAGACTAGACTACTGTCTGCCAAACAAGACATTCTCCTCAGACTAGACTACTGCCTGCCAAACAAGACATTCTCCTCAGACTAGTCTACTGTCTGCCAAACAAGACATTCTCCTCAGACTAGTCTACTGCCTGCCAAACAAGACATTCTCCTCAGACTAGACTACTGTCTGCCAAACAAGACATTCTCCTCAGACTAGACTACTGCCTGCCAAACAAGACATTCTCCTCAGACTAGACTACTGCCTGCCAAACAAGACATTCTCCTCAGACTAGTCTACTGTCTGCCAAACAAGACATTCTCCTCAGACTAGACTACTGCCTGCCAAACAAGACATTCTCCTCAGACTAGACTACTGCCTGCCAAACAAGACATTCTCCTCAGACTAGACTACTGTCTGCCAAACAAGACATTCTCCTCAGACTAGACTACTGCCTGCCAAACAAGACATTCTCCTCAGACTAGACTACTGCCTGCCAAACAAGACATTCTCCTCAGACTAGACTACTGTCTGCCAAACAAGACATTCTCCTCAGACTAGACTACTGCCTGCCAAACAAGACATTCTCCTCAGACTAGTCTACTGTCTGCCAAACAAGACATTCTCCTCAGACTAGTCTACTGCCTGCCAAACAAGACATTCTCCTCAGACTAGACTACTGTCTGCCAAACAAGACATTCTCCTCAGACTAGACTACTGCCTGCCAAACAAGACATTCTCCTCAGACTAGTCTACTGTCTGCCAAACAAGACATTCTCCTCAGACTAGACTACTGTCTGCCAAACAAGACATTCTCCTCAGACTAGACTACTGTCTGCCAAACAAGACATTCTCCTCAGACTAGACTACTGCCTGCCAAACAAGACAGTCTCCTCAGACTAGACTACTGCCTGCCAAACAAGACATTCTCCTCAGACTAGACTACTGCCTGCCAAACAAGACATTCTCCTCAGACTAGACTACTGCCTGCCAAACAAGACATTCTCCTCAGACTAGACTACTGTCTGCCAAACAAGACATTCTCCTCAGACTAGACTACTGCCTGCCAAACAAGACATTCTCCTCAGACTAGACTACTGCCTGCCAAACAAGACATTCTCCTCAGACTAGACTACTGCCTGCCAAACAAGACATTCTCCTGACGATTCTAAAAAAGTGATCTTTGTCAATGTCTGTGAACGCAATATGCATTTATTTACTAATGCTGTGATATAGTAGTGCTTATTATCTCTGCATTTCCTGTTTGGTTACAGTGATTACAGTGTCATGTTTTGAGAGATGTGAAGTCTTAATACCATCAGAGTTGTTGCTCGGCCTCTGTTGTCATTACAGATCTGACGGCCTGGTAAATTCCCCTTCTAACATGCTGCCTGTGCTGTCAGCTATACCATGAGAGAACTGTGTTTGTTTGCTGATTAGATATCAAACATTACGCACCTCAGTCAAGCATGAAATGGAGCAGATTTTGTTAATGGATTGTGTGTGTGTGTGTGTGTGTGTGACAAAAAACATACAATTGTAATGGTGTGTTTGATCGGTCCTTGATGATTGAGATCGAGCTAGTCTAGCATAGAAGTAAAATGTATTTTCTAGTGATTATATTTATATGATTGAGACAACCCTCCTCTAGTGTTGACAGACAGTCAGGTGCCTGTATAACATCCCCTACACCAGCGCTATTGTCTGTCAGCCTTACAGAGCACCAACCCAGCCTTACAGAGCACCAACCCAGCCTTACAGAGCACCAACCCAGCCTTACAGAGCACCAACCCAGCCTTACAGAGCACCAACCCAGCCTTACAGAGCACCAACCCAGCCTTGCAGAGCACCAACCCAGCCTTGCAGAGCACCAACCCAGCCTTACAGAGCATCAACCCAGCCTTGCAGAGCACCAACCCAGCCTTACAGAGCACCAACTCAGGCAGCCAGAGCACCAACCCAGCCTTACAGAGCACCAACCCAGCCTTACAGAGCACCAACTCAGGCAGCGAGAGCACCAACCCAGCCTTACAGAGCACCAACCCAGCCTTATAGAGCACTAACCCAGCCTTACAGAGCACCAAGCCAGCCTTACAGAGCACCTACTCAGGCAGACAGAGCACCAACCCAGCCTTACAGAGCACCAACCCAGCCTTATAGAGCACCAACCCAGCCTTATAGAGCACCAACCCAGCCTTACAGAGCATCAACCCAGCCTTGCAGAGCACCAACCCAGCCTTGCAGAGCACCAACCCAGCCTTGCAGAGCACCAACCCAGCCTTGCAGAGCACCAACCCAGCCTTGCAGAGCACCAACCCAGCCTTACAGAGCACCAACCCAGCCTTACAGAGCACCAACCCAGCCTTGCAGAGCACCAACCCAGCCTTACAGAGCACCAACCCAGCCTTACAGAGCACCAACCCAGCCTTACAGAGCACCAACCCAGCCTTACAGAGCACCAACCCAGCCTTACAGAGCACCAAACCAGCCTTACAGAGCACCAACCCAGCCTTACAGAGCACCAACCCAGCCTTGCAGTGCACCAACCCAGGCAGGTAGCAGGGTTATTCTGGGTTATTATTACTGAGAGACAGACAGGAGGGATGCTGCTGTGTGAATTCCCTGTGCTGCTCGGTCATGATGGATGGAAGAACAGTGAATCCTTTAAAGACTGAGGGCTGATCTCAACCCTCCCTCACCCCCCTCTTTACGCCCTCCACTTTTCCCCGGTACTGCCAACTGAGTCTGTGTTTGAGGAGAGAAAGTTACCTTCCTTCTCCCAGTCTTATATGATAGCACCACAGAGTGACAGTCAGCCAGAGTGCCTTGAGGAACTTTAACTTCAGCCCAGCCAATTCATTAACTTTACTTTCTAAACTTTGAGACACGTGGCACAAAGAGAGCAGGCCTTGTGACTGTCTGTCACTTGACAGTCAGGTGAACGTTGTGTTACTTCCTCTTGTCCTCATTGTCATCTAGCAGAGACACGTTGTCACGCTGGTCTATTTCTGACTTGGTGTATGTTACGCCTGCCAACGTGTGTGTGTGTGTGTGTGTGTGTGTGTGTGTGTGTACTCACAAGTGCTGGGCCTGGGGCGTGGGGACTCACACACCTCACAGTAAGGGAGCAGGATGCTGTTGGAGTAAGTACAGGCCCCACAGCTCCACTCCTCTTCCTTCCCCTGGTCTGGTGCTCCTGGTCTTGGGCTCGACCTGGGTTTTGGGGTCCCTTTCTCAGAGAGCCGACGGGGGGTAAACAGAGGGGCCAGGGGGCTGCTGCTGGTGCCCCCCCCCCCAGGGAGGGACGTCCTCTTCCCTCCAAGACGAGACCTGGGGCTCTGGGTAGCGCTGGGGGTGAGGGTGGGGGTGGGCAGCCGCAGCCTCTTCACCTGGGGAGAGAAGTCTAGGTCCTGGTCCTGGAGGTCAGGGGGATCTTGGGAGTTTTTCTCCTTGTCGTTCTCTGGGTTCTCCACATCCAAGTCTATAGAACCCTCCTTCTCTGTGGGGGTAACGGGGGATTGGCAAACCTCATCCTCTGTTCTCTTCCTCTTCTTCTCCATACCCGGAGAGAAGAAGGAACGGATGTCGTGCTGTTTGTCCTTCTCAAACTGCAGAGAGGAGGGACAGAGTCACGGTAAGACTGTTGTAAAAGCCTGTCATTCATCTGATCTGTTGTAAAAGCCTGTCATTCATCTGATCTGTTGTAAAGCATGTCATTCATCTGATCTGTTGTAAAGCCTGTCATTCATCTGATCTGTTGTAAAAGCCTGTCATTCATCTGATCTGTTGTAAAAGCATGTCATTCATCTGATCTGTTGTAAAGCATGTCATTCATCTGATCTGTTGTAAAAGCCTGTCATTCATCTGATCTGTTGTAAAAGCATGTCATTCATCTGATCTGTTGTAAAAGCCTGTCATTCATCTGATCTGTTGTAAAGCCTGTTCTTCATCTGATCTGTTGTAAAAGCCTGTCATTAATCTGATCTGTTGTAAAGCATGTAATTCATCGGATCTGTTATAAAACATGTAATTCATCTGATCTGTTGTAAAGCCTGTTATTCATCTGATCTGTTGTAAAAGCCTGTCATTAATCTGATCTGTTGTAAAGCCTGTCATTCATCTGATCTGTTGTAAAGCATGTCATTCATCTGATCTGTTGTAAAAGCCTGTCATTCATCTGATCTGTTATAAAACATGTCATTCATCTGATCTGTTGTAAAGCCTGTCATTCATCTGATCTGTTGTAAAGCCTGTCATTCATTTGATCTGTTGTAAAAGCCTGTCATTCATCTGATCTGTTGTAAAGCATGTCATTCATCTGATCTGTTGTAAAGCCTGTCATTCATCTGATCTGTTGTAAAAGCCTGTCATTAATCTGATCTGTTGTAAAGCATGTCATTAATCTGATCTGTTGTAAAAGCATGTCATTCATCTGATCTGTTGTAAAAGCCTGTCATTCATCTGATCTGGTGTAAAGCAGGTCATTCATCTGATCTGTTGTAAAAGCCTGTCATTCATCTGATCTGTTGTAAAGCAGGTCATTCATCTGATCTGTTGTAAAGCATATCATTAATCTGATCTGTTGCACTAGACCAGTGACTCACATGGTTAAAGAATACAGGGTCTTTGTCATTGTCAACCTGTCCTCCTGCTGCCAGGGTCATCCCGCTTGGCGTCCACGCCTCTGCGAAGTTCAGGAAGTCCCATTTGTCCTTATCCCCCACCTCCGCCTTTAAGTACTCCTTCTTACCGTTCAGAGTACTGCCTGTTACCGTTTCCTGTCAACAACACACACACAAACACACAGTCTCATATCAGAACAACACGAACAGGAAAACTCCACTCAAAAATAAAATATGTTGGACTTTCAAGAAGCAAAAACAGTGTTTGGATTTTCCCTTTAAGCACTTAATGGAAAAAAATGGACTAAATCAGGGAGGGGAGGGGCAATCAGAACTTGTCCAATAAGAAACACTTGTTTTGCTACACTGTGCACTAATGAATGTGATCCTAAACTGAAGAATCCAACATGTTCTGTTCTTTGCAGCATAATAAACAACAACAAGTTCAATAAACAATCAAATAAACACCAAGGTCAACAACAACATCACTCTGATACTTCTGTAATGCCCTCTAAAAGGTTTTTGCTAAAGAAGGATGCCAGACATTTTATTGGTTAAAACCCAATACTCTGGAAACGGTGTTCATGCAGTGGATATTAGTACCCCATAGAATGACAGATATATTGAGAGTACCCGCCCCGCCATTCAACCCACTGTGTTCCAGTCAAATTGACAAGGTGGTCTCGGGGGCTTTGTCCTGTCCCTTCTAGTAAATCTATTTCTATGAAAAGTACCTACCTTCCTGTTAAAACACACACGCACGCACGCGCACACACACACCTTCCTGTTTAGCATGCCCCACATGACGGTGTCGAAGGTTCCCTTGGCGATGAGGTAGTGCACGTGGACGGAGGCGGTCTGTCCGATGCGGTGCGCCCGGTCCTCAGCCTGCTTCACATGGCCAGGGTTCCAGTACAGCTCAGCAAACACCACGTGAGTGGCTGCTGTGAACGTCAGGCCCTGGACACCACAGACCACACACTCACTTAAGCGGACGGGCGGAGCAAGCAGAGCGAGGCGGGTGAAAAGGACGGGACAGGCAGAGCAGTGACTGTATGCTAGCAGGACAGTACATATAATATTATAATATATACCATTTAGAAGACGCTTTTATCCAAAGATACTCCAAGTCATGCATGCATACATTTGACATATGGGTGGTTCTGGGAATCAAACCCAGCGCGGTTACAAGCGCCAAGCTCTACCAACCGAGCTACAAAGGAGCATACCTCCAATCATCTTTGCTGATAGCGATGTTGTGTTTCCATAAGTAGATGAATTGGTCTAATTTAGCATGTATGGTAAAGCCTCAACCCTTAGCTACATCTTCCAATACAAATGAGGCAAAAGAAAATAAGCTAATAATTTTTTTAAAAATTGTTTTGTGTGACTACGGCGCCAGCGCTAAAACACCAGAACAGAGACGTTCTAATTGAGCAAGGCATCAAAGCTGACAACCTGCACGCCCCGCTTCGGCTGGGTCGTTATAATTCGAAACAACACATTCTAAAATAAATCACACATACGCCATTAGTGAGTTTAGGCCATTAGTCAAGAACGTCCTGAACTTTTTTTACTGTTTTTAATGAGAGCTCTGGAAAGAAAGATCTCATCTATTTACTACATATTACAAATAAACTGGAACAGGTCAAAAAGTGTTACTTTGGGACTGGAATTGGGACACATGTTGGATGTATATGCCCAGTATTCTGATGACCAGTAGAGGGTCTGTACCATAGAAATATAATGACTATTCTGTCATAACTGTTTCTATGGTCTGTACATGCAGTACCTGCCCAGCAGCCTGTATGCTGAGGACGGCCACACGGGTCTCAGGGTCATTCTGGAACTGGTGAACCAGGTGGATACGTTCTGAGGACGGAACACTGCCATCGATACGGATGTAACTGGCCTGAGAGAGAGAGAGAGAGAGGGAGAGAGAGAGGGAGGGAGGGAGAGGGAGAGGGAGAGAGGGAAAGAGAGAGAGAGTGGTCATTACTGAGGGGACACTGCCATCGATATGGATGTAACTGGCCTGAGAGAGAGAGGAGATGGGGAAAGAGGCAAATGTCAGCGCTGATTAAAACCTTGACCTCTGAACCCACCACTAAAACAACAACAACATCCTATAGCATTGTTGCAAACAACAACTTTACTAACACATTTAGTCAATTCCACTCCACACAGACTGTACCCATATACAGGAAGACAACTTTTGTGTTCTAATACCTGTAACAGTGATGTCATCGATTTCAGTCTGTTTTAATTAGATTATCATCTCTCTCTCTCTATTTCTCTCTCTCCCTCTATTTCTCTCTCTCCCTCTCTTTCTCTCTCTCCCCCTCTTTCTCTCTCTCTCTCTCTCTCTCTCTCTCTGTTCTCACAGCTGTAGTTCATCACGGCATCATGCATCTCCTTATTTTAGTATTCGTCCTGTTAATGGGTGATGATGAGTCTGCGATAGAGAGAGTGGGAGACTTCACATTAGGTGTGATCACACACACATGCTCACATATCAGATAACAGCAGACGACACCTATAGCCATCCTCACATCCCTGCCATCGAGCTGAGAAATGTGTGAAACTGGCTTAAAATAAAAACTGTGTGTGTGGGGGGGGGGTTATTTTACAAACTTCTGTTTTGAGTTTCTACATAAGTGGAGAGGAGATTCAGCAACACTTGGAGAACAATGGAATTCAATAAAAAAGCTTCTTTATTGCTAAAAGTAGAACTCCAATCTCCTCTCTCCTTCAGTTTGCTCCTTAATTCATGCACCTTGGTTGGAAAGCGAGGTAGCGACAGTGATCCCTTCCCTTTGAGTTTCTACATAGACAGTCTGTTATACTGAATACACACAAGCAGTTTGAAGTGTATGTGGTATCATTACCAGTGGGTGGTTCAAAATGTATAGACTTGAGGGGAAAGCAAACACACGTACAGCTGAAGTCGGAAGTTTACATACACTTAGGTTGGAGTCATTAAAACTCATGTTTCAACCACTCCCCAAATTTCTTGTTAACAAACTATAGTTTTGGCAAGTCGGTTAGGACATCTACTTTGTGCATGACACAAGTAATTTTTCCAACAATTGTTTACAGACGGATTATTTCACTTATAATTCATTATATCACAATTCCAGTGGGTCAGAAGTTTACATACACTAAGTTGACTGTGCCTTTAAACAGCTTGGAAAATTCCAGAAAATGAAGTCATGGCTTTAGAAGCTTCTGATAGACTAATTGACATCATTTGAGTCAATTGGAGGTGTACCTGTGGATGTATTTCAAGGCCTACCTTTAAACTCAATGCCTCTTTGCTTGACATCATGGGAAAATCAAAATAAATCAGCCAAGGGCTCAGAAAAAAAAATGTAGTCCTCCACAAGTCTGGTTCATCCTTGGGAGCAATTTCCAAACGCCTGAAGGTACCACGTTCATCTGTACAAACAATAGTACGCAAGTATAAACACCATGGGACCACACAGCCGTCATACCGCTCAGAAAGGAGACGCGTTCTGTCTCCTAGAGATGAACGTACATTGGTGCGAAAAGTGCAAATCAATCCCAGAACAACAGCAAAGGACCTTGTGAAGATGCTGGAGGAAACAGGTACAAAAGTATCTATATCCACAGTAAAACGAGTCCTATATCGACATAACCTGAAAGGCCGCTCAGCAAGGAAGAAGCCACTGCTCCAAAACTGCCATAAAAAAGCCAGACTACGGTTTGCAACTGCACATGGGGACAAAGATCGTACTTTTTGGAGAAATGTCCTCTGGTCTGATGAAACAAAAATAGAACTGTTTGGCTATAATGACCATCGTTATGTTTGGAGGAAAAAGGGGGCCCTTGCAAGCCGAAGAACACCATCCCAATCGTGACGCACGGGGGTGGCAGCATCATGCTGTGGGGGTGCTTTGCTGCAGGAGGGACTGGTGCATTTCACAAAATAGATGGCATCATGAGGAAGGAAAATTATGTGGATATATTGAAGCAACATCTGAAGACATCAGTCAGGAAGTTAAAGCTTGGTCGCAAATGGGTCTTCCAAATGGACAATGACCCCAAGCATACTTTCAAAGTTGTGGCAAAATGGCTTAAGGACAACAAAGTCAAGGTATTGGAGTGGCCATCACAAAGCCCTGACCTCAATCCTATAGAAAATGTGTGGGCAGAACTGAAAAAGTGTGTGCGAACAAGGAGGCCTACAAACCTGACTCAGTTACACCAGCTCTGTCAGGAGGAATGGGCCAAAATTCACCCAACTTATTTTGGAAAGCTTGTGGAAGGCTACCCGAAACATTTGACTCAAGTTAAACAATTTAAAGGCAATGCTACCAAATACTAATTGAGTGTATGTAAACTTCTGACCCACTGGGAATGTGATGAAATAAATAAAAGCTGAAATAAATAATTCTCTCTACTATTATTCTGACATTTCAAGTTCTTAAAATAAAGTGGTGATCCTAACTGACCTAAGACAGGGAATTTTTACTAGGATTAAATGTCAGGAATTGTGAAAAACTGAGTTTAAATGTATTTGGCTAAGGTGTATGTAAACCTCAGAATTCAACTGTATGTAAGAATGCTGTTCATTGACTATAGCTCAGCCTTCAACACCATAGTACCCTCCAACAATGACGAGACAGCCTACAGGGAGGAGGAGAGGGCCCTGGCGGAGTGGTGCCAGGAAAATAACCTCTCCCTCAACGTCAACAAAATGAAGGAGCTGATCGTGGACTTCAGGAAACAGCAGAGGGAGCGTGCCCCTATCCACATCGACAGGACCGCAGTGGAGAAGGTGAAAAGCTTAAAGTTCTGAAATGGTCCACCCACACAGTGTGGTGAAGAAGGCGCAACAGTGCCTCTTCAACCTCAGGAGCCGGCTTCCACCCGGTTACTCAACCCTGCACCTTAGAGGCTGCTGCCCTATATACATAGACATGGAATCACTGGTCACTTTAATAATGGAACACTAGTCACTTTAATAATGTTTACATACTGCTTTACTCATTTCATATGTACAGTGAGGGAAAAAAGTATTTGATCCCCTGCTGATTTTGTATGTTTGCCCACTGACAAAGAAATGATCAGTCTATAATTTTATTGGTAGGTCTATTTGAACAGTGAGAGACAGAATAACAACAACAAAATCCTGAAAAACGCATGTCAAAAATGTTATAAATTGATTTGCATTTTAATGAGGGAAATAAGTATTTGACCCCCTCTCAATCAGAAAGATTTCTGGCTCCCAGGTGTCTTTTATACAGGTAACGAGCTGAGATTAGGTGCACACTCTTAAAGGGAGTGCTCCTAATCTCAGCTTGTTACCTGTATAAAAGACACCTGTCCACAGAAGCAATCAATCAATCAGATTCCAAACTCTCCACCATGGCCAAGAACAAAGAGCTCTCCAAGGATGTCAGGGACAAGATTGTAGACCTACACAAGGCTGGAATGGGCTACAAGACCATCGCCAAGCAGCTTGGTGAGAAGGTGACAACAGTTGGTGCGATTATTCGCAAATGGAAGAAACACAAAATAACTGTCAATCTCCCTCAGCCTGGGGCGCCAGGCAAGATCTCACCTCGTGGAGTTGCAATGATCATGAGAACGGTGAGGAATCAGCCCAGAACTACACGGGAGGATCTTGTCAATGATCTCAAGACAGCTGGGACCATAGTCACCAAGAAAACAATTGGTAACACACTACGCCGTGAAGGACTGAAATCCTGCAGCGCCCGCAAGGTCCCCCTACTCAAGAAAGCACATATACAGGGCCGTCTGAAGTTTGCCAATGAACATCTGAATGATTCAGAGGAGAACTGGGTGAAAGTGTTGTGGTCAGATGAGACCAAAATCGAGCTCTTTGGCATCAACTCAACTCGCCGTGTTTGGAGGAGGAGGAATGCTGCCTATGACCTCAAGAACACCATCCCCACCGTCAAACATGGAGGTGGAAACATTATGCTTTGGGGGTGTTTTTCTGCTAAGGGGACAGGACAACTTCACCGCATCAAAGGGACGAAGGACGGGGCCATGTACCGTCAAATCTTGGGTGAGAACCTCCTTCCCTCAGCCAGGGCATTGAAAATGGGTCGTGGATGGGTATTCCAGCATGACAATGACCCAAAACACACAGCCAAGGCAACAAAGGAGTGGCTCAAGAAGAAGCACATTAAGGTCCTGGAGTGGCCTAGCCAGTCTCCAGACCTTAATCCCATAGAAAATCTGTGGAGGGAGCTGAAGGTTTGAGTTGCCAAACGTCAGGCTCGAAACCTTAATGACTTGGAGAAGATCTGCAAAGAGGAGTGGGACAAAATCCCTCCTGAGATGTGTGCAAACCTGGTGGACAACTACAAGAAACGTCTGACCTCTGTGATTGCCAACAAGGGTTTTGCCACCAAGTACTAAGTCATGTTTTGCAGAGGGGTCAAATACTTATTTCCCTCATTAAAATGCAAATCAATTTATAACATTTTTGACATTTTTTGTTGTTGTTATTCTCTCTCTCACTGTTCAAATAAACCTACCATAAAAATTATAGACTGATCATTTCTTTGTCAGTGGGCAAACGTACAAAATCAGCAGGGGATCAAATACTTTTTTCCCCTCACTGTATATACTGTATTCTATTCTACTGTATTTTAGTCAATGCCACTCTGACATTGCTCGTCCTAATATTTATATATTTCTTAATTCCACTCTTTTACTTTTAGATTTGTGTGCATTGTTGTGAATTGTTAGATACTACTGCACCGTTGGAGCTAGGAACACAAGCATTTCCCTACACCTGCAATAACATCTACTAAATATGTGTGTGACCAATAAAATTTGATTTGATCTCAGTAAAATCTTTGAAATTGCTGCATGTTGCGTTTATATTTTTGATCAATATAGTTATTTTGTTACATACTTTTCCCTATTAGCTGGAATCCTATTTTTTCATAGCCATTTGCTAGCATACGTTTGCGCTATGAAACTAAATAAATACTGCACTCTGAACCACAAAACGTATTTGCTAGATTCATGAAAGTGTTGTTAGACAAAGCAAGAAAAGTGAACTTCAAAATGTGATGTAGTTTTAGTGAAATTTGCAGCTGTCGTTGGTAAGTAATGAATCTGCTAGCTTCTGAAATAACTTACTCAACCTTTAAGTGTTTTAGGATTTGAAGACGGGTATGGAATAATCTCCATAATAGTTTGACAGGTCTGAGAAAGTGCCTGAGGGCATATCTGTGTGCTGTGTCAGGGAGATGGCCCCTTAATGGTGAGTTTGTGATAGAAGGGCCTGATGAACAGTGGTGTGCATGTGCATTAGTTGTGATGAGTGAACAACAGTTACCTTGGCTTCGATGACAGCCTCGGTACAGGCCTGCAGCATGGTCAGGTGATGAGCGAACACCAGGAACTTTAACTTCTCAGTCTCCAGCAGCATCTTTATGTAGTCTTTCACTGCTCCGGCCTATAGGAGGAGACCACAGAGGAAGGTCAATAGAAACACAATAAGAACGTATTAGAATACATCTCTATGGAAGGCCATGCAGGGGAAATCAACCAATGGAAAGGAAGGGAATGAATCATGAATTGCTATGAGAGACATATTCAGACTTCACATATATTTGTCTCGAAGGACCACTTGTACGACACACACACACACACACACACACACACACACACACACACCTGCTCTCCACATGCCACACACCTCTTGGACTTTACACCTCTCTCACCTGTCTCCTCTCTCACCTAGAGACTTGGACTGTTAATTACCAGAAAGCCTTTCCTCTCAGAGGGGAATAATGAAAGTAGGTCTAAGCAGGTCTAGCTAGAAGCCCCCTTCTCTATCTGCTAATGGGAACTTCTCATTACTGGGTTGCTGGGTTGGTTTTAACTCCGCAGAAGTTTAATTAGTGCAACACAAACTTCCTGTCCACCGAAGCAGTGATATGTTATCTCTCTTTAAAGTCCATCATCAGAGGCAGCAGGGTTTCTGGGTAATTGGGAGCATCTGCTGCTGCTGGTAGATGGGGTAAAAATAAAAACCCTGTCCCCCTCCGCACTGCCAAACTGTGTCCCAAAATGGCACCCTTTTCCCTATATAGCGCACTGCTTTTGACCAGCGTCCATGGAGCTCTGGACAAAAGTAGAGCACTATCAAAAGTAGTGCACTATATAGGGAATAGGGTGCCATTTGGGATGCATCCATGGTCGCCTCGCCAGGCATTCACATACGCTTCAGAAGTGACATGAGTTGTGTGTGTGTGTGTGTGTGTGTGTATCCACTTGCCCCAAAAAAAGTTATTTTCTGTCAGAGTGTGTGCAGCGGCAGCCAAAAGCGAAGGGCGAGGAAAATGAGACAGGAGGATGACACTTCTACAGCGACGCAACGGTGAACTTTAATCAAGCGGAGGAGGAAGGGAAACTGAGCGAAAATTCAATCAACAAACAAGACGGAGCCAAACAAGCCAACCGGTGAGGAAGGATATCTCCACTGATTACATTCAGCAGGCTGAGGCTGTCTGTGGCTTTGTTAACCTTGGTGCAGGACCCTTATTACAGAGGTGCCTGGGTCGTGTTCAGTTAGACACCAAACAAAAGAAAACTGTCCAAAACGGAGCGAAACAGAGGAGGTACTATCTGTGCTTGTTTTCCATTTTCTGTTTTAAAACGTTTGTATCCAGCGTACCAAGCCAGCTTCCTTCACTGAACAGCCTCTTAAAGTCAACCTGGAAGTTAACGGCTGACTTCTCGCCTGCCGGTGTTACCATGGCAACCACATTAGAAATAACACCTTGGAAAGGTTCAGCTATATTTGGGTTCGGTGTGCTGTGTTGAAAAGGTTTACTTTAGAAGAAAAAACAGAAATTGAAAGGCCACAGTTATGGCTGTCCAGAGTTATGATGGCCAGCCAGAATGCTTTCACTAAGGGGTGGCAGACCTTCACTCTGTTCCCATGGCGATGTGCTCTGAGTAATGTGAAGCAGAGAGAGAGAGAGAGACAGAGAGAGAGCGGAGAGAGAGAGAGAGAGAGAGAGAGAGAGAGAGAGAGAGAGGAGGAAGGCCCTTTTCTAGAATGGTGCAGAAGTGCTGGGCCAGGCAGGGGGTTAAGAGGAGAGTGACACATTGAGGGCCTGGTGTGTGTGTGTGTGTGTGTGTGTGTGTGTGTGTGTGTACACTGTACCTTAGCGATGGCAGTCTGTTTGTACATGCGTGTCACAAGCCCCATGACTTCAGTAAAGGGGTTGTCCGTGGCAGAGACCCCCGATCCCATCGTCCTCATCAGGTGCTCCCACTCCTCCAAGCTGCTGCTCGCCTCCTGTACACAAACACACACACACACACACACACACACACACCTCTGTGTCAAAAGGCCTGTCTCTTTCTTTCTTTTTCACCCTGCTTTCCCCTCTTCTCTGTTTGCAGCTATAAGGGCAGAACATGTTGCTGTGGAGAGAAAGGAGGAGAAGACAATTCCCAAAGACACTGCTCCTCTCCTCTCCTCCCTCTCTCTCCTCTCCTCTCCTCTCCTCTCCTCTCCTCTCCCCTCTCCTCTCCTCCCCTCCCTCTTCTCTCCTCTCCTCGTCCCTCTCCTCCCCCGTCCTCTCCTCTCCATGCTCTACCCTCTTCCTCTCCCATCTTCTCTCCTCTCCTCTCCCCTCCCCTCCTCTCCTCTCCTCTCCTCTCCTCCCCTACAGTCAGTAGTGTCTAGGTAGGTCACATGGGCTAGCCCAATTATAGCTGGATTGTGACAAGGGGAGGTTGAAGATGGAGAACGCACTAGCCCAATATAATACATCACACACACAGTCTGCTCTCAAGGTGAAACACAAGGAGTATTTCGGGGAGCTACTGTAGAAAGGGAGTATGAAGGAGTATTTAGGGAAGTTACTGTAGAAAGGCAGTATGAAGGAGTATTTAGGGGACCTACTGTAGAAAGGCAGTATGAAGGAGTATTTAGGGGAGTTACTGTAGAAAGGCAGTATGAAGTGAAGGAGTATTTAGGGGACCTACTGTAGAAAGGCAGTATGAAGGAGTATTTAGGGGAGTTACTGTAGAAAGGCAGTATGAAGGAGTATTTAGGGGAGTTACTGTAGAAAGGCAGTATGAAGGAGTATTTAGGGGAGTTACTGTAGAAAGGCAGTATGAAGGAGTATTTAGGGGAGTTACTGTAGAAAGGCAGTATGAAGGAGTATTTAGGGGAGTTACTGTAGAAAGGCAGTATGAAGCAGCTCTGAGAGGACAACATATACACCAGATAGATACATTTGAATTGCACAGATCTGGGGCAAAACACATTTGCATGTATAAGATGCAGTCACATACATGTCACCTTATCTTTGGTATGTAAATAAAAAGACAAGCCATATATTATGATATTTAGACATAGATAAACCCCATACATGCATATTCCTTCATTCACACTGACTGCATACATTCAGTATGTGTGTGTGTATGTCTGTGTGTTGACAGCGTGTGATTTATGGAGCGCAGCAGCAGGTGAGGTCTCTTTGTACTGAGAGAGAGAGATCAGAGAGAGAGAGCGAAAAGAGGGAATGTGCTGGCCATGCATTCCTCTGGCTGACGGAGGGAACAGAGGAGGAGAGAATGAGAGGATGAGTTCTACCTCATTACTTCAGGCTTATACAGCAGCACAGAGAGGAGAGGAGCGTAGCGGAGGACGGAGGGCACACAGAGGCTGGAGCTCACAGAGTTTAGAGCTCACAGAGTAAAGTTTACACACTAGACTAGAGAGCTCACACAGAGACTAGTTCAGAGATTATGGAGTTCACACACACAGAGTTTACAGAGCTCACAGAGTATAGAGCACACCGAGTATAGAGCTCAGAGTATAGAGCTCACAGTTTAGAGCTCACATGATATAGAGCTCACAGAGTATAGAGAGCACAGAGTTTAGAGCTCACCGAGTATAGAGCTCACAGGGTATAGAGCTCGTAGGGTATAGAGCTCGTAGGGTATAGGGCTCACAGGGTATAGAGCTATAGAGCTCACAGGGTATAGAGCTCACAGGGTATAGAGCTCACATGATATAGAGCTATAGAGCTCACAGGGTATAGAGTTCACAGGGTATAGAGCTCATAGGGTATAGAGCTCACAAGGTATAGAGCTCACAGGGTATAGAGCTCACAGAGTAGAGTTTACACACTAGACTAGAGAGCTCACACAGAGGCTAGTTCAGAGATTATGGAGTTCACACACAGAGTTTATAGAGCTCACAGGGTATAGAGCTATAGAGCTCACAGGGTAGAGTTCACAGGGTATAGAGCTCACAGGGTAGAGAGCTCACAGGGTAGAGAGCTCACAGGGTATAGAACAGAGTATACTGCCCACAGAGCTCATCATGGATAAAAGAGCCCACAAAATACAGATATGATGGAAATTAACTGGCTAATGTTTGAATATGAATTCAGTTGTATAGAACAGACAGCTAGTCCTGATCACTATGAAAGGCTACTTTACTTATGAACGGAAAAGGGCAAGACTGAAATAAAAACCATATGGCAATGGGAGATAAAATGATAATTAGTGTAAATTGGATACTATTGCCGAGCAACAGGATGGGAGAGAGGGAGAGAGAGAGAGAGAGAGGGAGAGAGAGAGGGAGGGTGGGGAAGTGTGAAAGAGAGAGATGATAATAATGAGGGATATATTCAGAATATTCAGCGCCCCCTGTCTCCTGCTATATATTCCCTCTGTCTCCTGCTATATATTCCCTCTGTCTCCTGCTATATATTCCCCGTCTCCTGCTATATATTCCCCGTCTCCTGCTATATATTCCCCCTGTCTCCTGCTATATATTCCCCCTGTCTCCTGATATATATTCCCCGTCTCCTGATATATATTCCCTGTGTCTCCTGCTATATATTCCCCCTGTCTCCTGCTATATATTCCCCCTGTCTCCTGCTATATATTCCCCCTGTCTCCTGCTATATATTCCCCCTGTCTCCTGATATATATTCCCCGTCTCCTGATATATATTCCCTGTGTCTCCTGCTATATATTCCCCCTGTCTCCTGCTATATATTCCCCCTGTCTCCTGATATATATTCCCCCTGTCCCCTGCTATATATTCCCCCCTGTCCCCTGCTATATATTCCCTCTGTCTCCTGCTCAGAGGAGTCCGTCCGTCCGTCCGTTTGTCAGTCTGTGTGTGTTTCTGTCTGTCTGCCTGTCGGTCCGTCCATTACCTTGGCAGCGTCTTTGGGCAGGTCGAATGGGATGCGCTGGCGTATTTTGGGGGGTAGCTGGGGGAGGACCTGGGCCTTCAGCCTCCGGATCATGATCTCACTGAGACGCTGGTGGAGCTCCTCCAGATGAGAGGCACCACGACAGTCCCATTGTCTCCTGTTACCAAAGAACCTGGGAGGGACAGATAATGGGGTTTGGGTCTGTCTGTCTGTCTGCAGGGTCATTATGCTAATGCCCAGTATGTACACACTGCTGTGTGTGTGTGTGTGTGTGTGTGTGTGTGTGTGTGTGTGTGTGTAGGGCGTTACCTGTAGTGAGCGTTACAGTATTGTTTGGCGTAGTCACTCCACGTTCCAAACATCCTAGGATAGAGGGCATCTATCTGCATAAAGAGCTGCGGAAACATAATTAAGGGAAATGTAATGTGTGTGTGTGTGTGAGTTGTGGCAGTTCTGTTCTGCCCCCTCCATCATCACTCTTCAATGCACTAAACGGAACATTTCTGCCATGATGATAATAATGGGCCATTATTCAAATTGAGCTTTTCAGGCAGCAGCCATGTGAATAACTACAGCCACTGTAAATGTCCTAATCAAAGCACTGCAGCAGCACAGTGGAGCCAAGAATACTGTGAATACTGTGCTGCTACACAGGGAAATGAAAGGTTTGGTGTAGTGAACAATAGTGATGCGTGGGTGGAAGGAAGGAAGGGATGCAGGTTCTCTGGCACGGGCTCTGTGGTGTGTGTGTGTGTGTGTGTCTGTGTCTTTGTATGTGTGTGTGTGTCTGTGTGTGTGTGTGTGTGTTTGTGTGTGTGTGTGCCATTTTAAAGTGCCACAATGTTTCTAGACCCTTTAAATCCCAGACCATCTGTATTCAACCAGCCCTTCAGGCTTCCTCTAGGTACAGACAGGTTCAATACATATCTGTGTCTGTAAAATACTTAAGGCAGACAAATTGAATGTATAGGACCCCAGCTGGCCAAGCTGGTTGAAATGTCAGAATAGAATAGAACAGAAAATAAATGTATGATTGGGGGATGGCGTGTGTTTGGACCTTTGGACCTTTGGGGGAACCGTACCTCCTCTGGTCGTCCCAGGGCCGGGGTGCCCGTTAGTAGGATGGCCCGCTTGGCGTTCTGGATGAGTGGTACCAGTATCTTGGTCCTGGCTGCGTTCCTGGACTTGAGGTAGTGGGATTCATCCACCACCACCACATTAAACCTCTGTCTGGTCAGAGCCTCCACTAGGGGGCGTGCGTCTGTGGTGAGCAGCCCGTAACCCAACACTGTTACCTTACTGCTACTGATGCCCCTGTATAACAGACACACAGAGGGTTATAATGTGTTATGTATGGGTTATAGTGTGTTATAATGGGTCTGTGGTGAGCAGCCCGTAACCCAACACTGTTACCTTACTGCTACTGATGCCCCTGTATAACAGACACACAGAGGGTTATAATGTGTTATGTATGGGTTATAGTGTGTTATAATGGTTCTGTGGTGAGCAGCCCGTAACCCAACACTGTTACCTTACTGCTACTGATGCCCCTGTATAACAGACACACAGAGGGTTATAATGTGTTATGTATGGGTTATAGTGTGTTATAATGGGTCTGTGGTGAGCAGCCCGTAACCCAACACTGTTACCTTACTGCTACTGATGCCCCTGTATAACAGACACACAGAGGGTTATAATGTGTTATGTATGGGTTATAGTGTGTTATAATGGGTCTGTGGTGAGCAGCCCGTAACCCAACACTGTTACCTTACTGCTACTGATGCCCCTGTATAACAGACACACAGAGGTTATAATGTGTTATGTATGGTTATAGTGTGTATAATGGGTCTGTGGTGAGCAGCCCGTAACCCAACACTGTTACCTTACTGCTACTGATGCCCCTGTATAACGACACACAGAGGTTTAATGTGTTATGTATGGGTTATAGTGTGTTATAATGGTCTGTGGTGAGCAGCCCGTAACCCAACACTGTTACCTTACTGCTACTGTCCCCTGTATAACGACACACAGAGGGTTTAATGTGTTATGTAGGTTATAGTGTGTTATAATGGGTCTGTGGTGAGCAGCCCGTAACCCAACACTGTTACTTACTGCTATCTGATGCCCCTGAATAACACACACACAGAGGGTTATAATGTGTTATGTATGGTTATAGTGTGTTATAATGGGTCTGTGGTGAGCACCGTAACCCAACACTGTACCTTACTGCTACTGATGCCCCTGTATAACAGACACAGAGGGTTATAATGAGTTATGTAGGGTTATAGTGTTATAATGGGTCTGTGGTGAGCAGCCCGTAACCCAACACTGTACCTTACTGCTACTGATGCCCCTGTATAACAGACACAGAGGGTTATAATGTGTTATGTATGGGTTATAGTGTGTTATAATGGGTCTGTGGTGAGCAGCCGTAACCCAACACTGTTACACTTATGCTACTGATGCCCCTGTATAACAGACACACAGAGGGTTATAATGTGTTATGTATGGGTTATAGTTGTGTTATCATGGGTCTGTGGTGAGCAGCCCTGTAACCCACACTGTTACCTTACTGCTACTGATGCCCCTGTATAACACACACACAGAGGGTTATAATGTGTTATGTATGGGTTATAGTGTGTTATAATGGGTCTGTGGTGAGCAGCCCATAACCCAACACTGTTACCTTACTGCTGATGCCCCAGTATAACAGACACACAGAGGGTTATAATGTGTTATGTATGGGTTATAGTGTGTTATAATGGGTCTGTGGTGAGCAGCCCGTAACCCAACACTGTTACCTTACTGCTGATGCCCCAGTAGAGTGGACAGACAGACAGACAGACACACAGATGATCAATAATCTCGAACAGTGAAAACATTGACTGATGCTGTACTGATACTGTCAACTTGAACTAAATTGATTGAGAAAATATAAATTCATTTAGCGGGAATGAAAATATCAATTTGCACATTTTCAAATTTAATTGCAGGTTGACGTTTATTGTCAAGAGTCTTGTCCAGGAGGCAGAACTGAAATATTTCCCCTTAGACATACCAGCTGCAAAGTCAAAATGTTGTACTGTTGTAAAAAGTCATGAAAAGAAAAATGAGCTTTTTGGTCTTAATTGAAGGTTAGAGGCATTAGGGTTAGCAGTGTGGTTAAGGTTAGGGTTAGAGGCATTAGGGTTAGCAGTGTGGTTAAGGTTAGGGTTAAAGGCATTAGGGTTAGCAGTGTGGTTAAGGTTAGGGTTAAAGGCATTAGGGTTAGCAGTGTGGTTAAGGTTAGGGTTAGAGGCATTAGGGTTAGCAGTGTGGTTAAGGTTAGGGTTAGAGGCATTAGGGTTAGCAGTGTGGTTAAGGTTAGGGTTAAAGGCATTAGGGTTAGCAGTGTGGTTAAGGTTAGGGTTAGAGGCATTAGGGTTAGCAGTGTGGTTAAGGTTAGGGTTAGAGGCATTAGGGTTAGCAGTGTGGTTAGGGTTAAAGGCATTAGGGTTAGCAGTGTGGTTAAGGTTAGGGTTGGGCATTAGGGTTAGCAGTGTGGTTAAGGTTAGGGTTAGAGGCATTAGGGTTAGCAGTGTGGTTAGGGTTAAAGGCATTAGGGTTAGCAGTGTGGTTAGGGTTAGAGGCATTAGGGTTAGCAGTGTGGTTAAGGTTAGGGTTGGGCATTAGGGTTAGCAGTGTGGTTAAGGTTAGGGTTAGAGGCATTAGGGTTATCAGTGTGGTTAGGGTTAGAGGCATTAGGGTTAGCAGTGTGGTTAAGGTTAGGGTTAAAGGCATTAGGGTTAGCAGTGTGGTTAGGGTTAGAGGCATTAGGGTTAGCAGTGTGGTTAAGGTTAGGGTTAGAGGCATTAGGGTTAGCAGTGTGGTTAAGGTTGGGGTTAGAGGCATTAGGGTTAGCAGTGTGGTTAAGGTTAGGGTTAGAGGCATTAGGGTTAGCAGTGTGGTTAAGGTTAGGGTTAGAGGCATTAGGGTTAGCAGTGTGGTTAGGGTTAGGGTTAAAATCAGATTGTATGACTTTGTGACTGTGCCAGTTAGTGACCACTCTGCAGAGGTGCCTCCAGAACAAGATCCATGATGAAAAACACTAACCTGCATTTTAAAATGGTGGAGAACTTCAGTAGGGAAACCAGGACCACTACCAAGTTGGGTAAGAAAAGCAGACCAGGTACAGGTGAAGTTAAAATGGGGTAACGTACAGTGTGTCACTTTTGGTCTCCACCAGATGAATATCTCCAGGGTTGAGCTCAGGGATCCACCTCTCCATCTCCTCCACCCAGGGGTACTTTAGAGAGGAGGGCACCACGATGAGAAGAGGCCACTCCTGTCTGTAGGCGTATGCCACAGAGATAGCCTGCACCGTCTTCCCTAGACCCATCTGGAGAAGCAGATTAACAATGCAATATGGAGGATGAAAACAATGATGTACATATATCATAGATGAAAACTCATTTTAAAAAACAAAGAAACCAAACACAAATCATTGCTTGGCTCAACAGTAAGTAAATAGCATGTGACGGAGTGTTCGTGAGATTCTGAGACACCAATAGATTCTAGAATGACCTGGTGTCAGAAATGATTATATGGCTAGGAAGGTTTCTTAAATGAGCATATATCCCAGATAATTATTTTTGGAGAATAGATTTGATAGGACTGGGGTGTTGGGTTGTGTGTGTGCTTTGCGGCTTACCTCATCTGCGATCATACACCTGAAACAGAGAATGAAGGGAGTTGAGAATGGAGGACATAGAATACTTACTGTATTCATACAATATTGCACTAGCAATCAAATCAAATCAAAATGTATTTGTCACATGCGCCGAATACAACTGGTGTAGACTTTAACGTGTGATGATTGCTTACGAGCCCTTCCCAACGATATAGAGTTTTAAAAAGTATCATAAAAAATAAAAAAATTTAACACAAGAGGAATAAAATAATATACACAAGAATGGATTTATATACAGGGAGTACCAGTACCAGATCAATGTGTAGAGGTACGAGCTATTTAAGGTACAGTGAGGGAAAAAAGTATTTGATCCCCTGCTGATTTTGTACGTTTGCCCACTGACAAAGAAATGATCAGTCTATAATTTTAATGGTAGGTTTATTTGAACAGTGAGAGACAGAATAACAACAACAAAAATCCAGAAAAACGCATGTCAAATGTTATAAATTAATTTGCATTTTAATGAGGGAAATAAGTATTTGACCCCCTCTCAATCAGAAAGATTTCTGGCTCCCAGGTGTCTTTTATACAGGTAACGAGCTGAGATTAGGAGCACACTCTTAAAGGGAGTGCTCCTAATCTCAGCTTGTTACCTGTATAAAAGACACCTGTCCACAGAAGCAATCAATCAATCAGATTCCAAACTCTCCACCATGGCCAAGACCAAAGAGCTCTCCAAGGATGTCAGGGACAAGATTGTAGACCTACACAAGGCTGGAATGGGCTACAAGACCATCTCCAAGCAGCTTGGTGAGAAGGTGACAACAGTTGGTGCGATTATTCGCAAATGGAAGAAACACAAAATAACTGTCAATCTCCCTCGGCCTGGGGCTCCATGCAAGATCTCACCTCGTGGAGTTGCAATGATCATGAGAACGGTGAGGAATCAGCCCAGAACTACACGGGAGGATATTGTCAATGATCTCAAGGCAGCTGGGACCATAGTCACCAAGAAAACAATTGGTAACACACTACGCCGTGAAGGACTGAAATCCTGCAGCGCCCGCAAGGTCCCCCTGCTCAAGAAAGCACATATACAGGCCGTCTGAAGTTTGCCAATGAACATCTGAATGATTCAGAGGAGAACTGGGTGAAAGTGTTGTGGTCAGATGAGATCAAAATCGAGCTCTTTGGCATCAACTCAACTCACCGTGTTTGGAGGAGGAGGATTGCTGCCTATGACCCCAAGAACACCATCCCCACCGTCAAACATGGAGGTGGAAACGTTATGCTTTGGGGGTGTTTTTCTGCTAAGGGGACAGGACAACTTCACCGCATCAAAGGGACGATGGACGGGGCCATGTACCGTCAAATCTTGGTAAACCAAAAAAGTGTTAAACAAATCAAAATATATGTTATATTTGAGATTCTTCAAATAGCCACCCTTTGCCTTGATGACAGCTTTGCACACTCTTGGCATTCTCTCAACCAGCTTCACCTGGAATGCTTTTCCAACAGTCTTGAAGGAGTTCCCACATATGCTGAACACTTGTTGGTCGGGGGAGTGTGGAGGCCAGGTCATCTGATGCAGCACTCCATCATGGTAAAATATCATCTGTTCACCTACACTGCGTTTCACAAAGACACGGCGGTTGGGACCAAAAATCTCAAATTTGGACTCCAGACCAAAGGACACATTTCCACCGGTCTAATGTCCATTGCTTGTGTTTCTTGGCCCAAGCAAGTCTCTTATTATTATTGGTGTCCTTTAGTAATGGTTTCTTTGCTGCAATTCGACCATGAAGGCCTGATTCACACAGTCTCCTCTGAACAGTTGATGTTGAGATGTGTCTGTTACTTGAACTCTGTGAAGCATTTATTTGGGCTGCAATTTCTGAGGCTGGTAACTCTAATGAACTTATCCTCTGCAGCAGAGGTAACTCTGGGTCTTCCTTTCCTGTGGCGGCCCTCATGAGAGCAAGTTTCATCATAGTGCTTGATGGGTTTTGAGTTCATGAAATTTTCCGGATTGACTGACCTTTATGTCTTAAAGTAATGATGGACTGTCGTTTCTCTTTGCTTATTTGTGCTGTTCTTGCCATAATGTGGACTTGGTCTTTTACCAAATAGGGCTATCTTCTGTATAACACCCCTACCTTGTCACAACACAACTGATTGGCTCAAACGCATTAAGAAGGAAAGAATTTCCACAAATTAACTTTTAACAAGGCACACCTGTTATTTTAATGCATTCCAGGTGACTACCTCATGAAGCTGGTTGAGAGAATGCCAATAGTGTGCAAAGCTGTCATCAAGGCAAAGGGTGGCTACTTTGAAGAAACTCAAATATAAAATATATTTTGATTTGTTTAACACTTTTTTGGTTATTACATGATTTCATAGGTTTTATTTCATAGTTTTGATGTCTTCACTATTATTCTACAATGTAGAAAATAGTAAAAAATAAAGAAAAACCCTTGATCGAGTACGTGTCCAAACTTTTGACTGGTAGTGTAAGTATTCACACCCCTTTGCTATGACACTCCAAATTGAGCTCAGGTGTATCCAATTTCCTTTGATCCTCCATGAGACAACTTGATTGGAGTCCACCTGTGGCCAATTCAATTGTTTGGACATGATTTAGAAAGAAACACACCTGTCTATATAAAGGTCCCACAGTTGACAGCACGTCAGAGCAGAAACTATACCATGAAGTCCAAGGAACTGTCTGTAGATCTCCGAGATAGAATTGTGATGAGGCGTATATCTGGGGAAGGGTAGAAAACCATTTCTAGAGTGTTGAAAGTTTCCAAGAGCACAGTGGTCTCCATCATTGGGAAATTGAAAAATATGGAAGTACCCAGACTCTGCCTAGAGCTGGCTGTCCTACCAAACTGAACAACCGGACAAGAAGGACCTTGGTCAGGGAGGTGACCAAAAACCCAATGACCACTCTGACGTTACTACAGAGTTCCCTGGCTGAGATGGGAGAACCTGCCAGAAGGACAACAGTCTATACAGCACTTCACCAATCTGGGCTTTATGGGAGAGTGGCCAGACGGAAGCCACTCCTGAGAAAAAGGCATATGACCAAAGATTATTTGGTCTGATCAGACAATTTTACTCTGGCCTGAATGCAAAGCACTATGTCTGGAGAAAACCAGGCACAGCTCATCACCCGTCTAACACAATCCCTACGGTGAAGCATAGTAGTGGCAGCATCATGCTATGGGGATGGGAGACTGGTAAGGATAGAGGGAACAATGAATGGAGTCAAATACAGGCAAATCCTTGAGAACCTGCTTCAGAGTGCAAATGACCTCACACTGCGGCAAATAATTACGTTCCAACAGGACAATGACCCCAAGCATATAGCCAAAGCAACACTGGAATGGCTTCAGAACAAGAACGTGAAAGTACTTGAGTGGCCCAGCCAAAGCCCAGACTTGAATCCCATTGAAAGTCTGTGGAAAGACTTGAAGATTGCTGTTCACCACCACCACTCCCCATCTAACTTAACAGAGCTTGAGAAAATCTGCAAGGAAGAATGGGAGAAAATTCCAAAATCCAGATGTACAAAGCTGATATACATACCCAAGATGACTCAAAACTGTAATCATCGCCAAAGGTGCTTCTACAAAGTATTGACTCAGGGATGTGAATAGTTATGTCAATAAGATCTGTATTGTATTTTAATTTCAACATATTTGTTAAATTCTAAAAACATATTTTCACGTTGTCATTATGGGGTATTGTGTGTAGATGGGTGAGAGAAAAAAATCCATTTTGAATTCAGGCTGTAACACAACAAAATGTAAGTCAAGGGGTATGAATACTTTGTGAAGGCACTGTAGTGTTTGTATGTATAGACTACTGAATGTGCAGTAACAATATAGCCTAGTCTATGGTCACCACTTCAAACTAAGAATCATGTTGATATTGCTAAATGTATTATGACATAAGCAATATCAGCACAAATAAGAGGTATGATTTCCATTCAGGTCTGTCCATCAGTTGGACACAATAGAGCCACTGCCACTCAAAAAATAATCACACCAAAGCTTCCCCCCTTTGCAATTCTAAGTGTAACGATGCTCCACAGATCAATGATGACAGTTTTATTACCCTGCTCACAAGGTTATAAGCTGTTAGCCTGTTCCCTCCACCCTCCTTTACAAAACAGGCTTTATCCACACCTCCCTGTTCATAACCGTTCCCACCACCCTTTACAAAACAGGCTTTATCCACACCTCCCTGTTCATAACCGTTCCCACCACCCTTTACAAAACAGGCTTTATCCACCTCTCCCTGTTCATAACAGTTAACACCAACACTCTTTCTAGCACTTATTTTTCAGATAGTAGCTACAGTGCATTCAGAAAGTATTCAGACCCCTTCCCCACATTTTCTTACGTTACAGCCTTATTCTAAAATGGATTAAATAATTGTTTTCCTCATCAATCTACACACAATACCCCATAATGACAAAACGAAAACAGGTTTTTAGAAATGTTTGCAAATGTATTAAAAATAAAAAACAGAAATACCTTATTTACATAAGTATTCAGACCCTTTGCTATGAGACTCGAAATTGAGCTCAGGTGCATCCTGTTTCCATTAATCATACTATAGATGTTTCTACAACTTGATTGGAGCCCACCTGTGGTAAATTCAATTGATTGGACATGATTTGGAAAGGCACACACCTGTCCCAAAGTTGACAGTGCATGTCAGTGCAAAAACCAAGCCATGAGGTCGATGGAATTGTCCGTAGAGTTCCGAGACAGGATTGTGTCGAGGCACAGATCTGGGGAAGGGTACCAAACATTTCTGCAGCATTGAAGGTCCCCAAGAACACAGTGGCCTCCATCATTCTTAAATGGAAGAAGTTTGGAACCACCAAGACTCTTCCTAGAGCTGGACGCCCACCCAAACTGAGCAATCGGGGGAGAAGGGCCTTGGTCAGAAAGGTGACCAAGAACCCGATGGTCACTGGCAGAGCTCCAGAGTTCCTCTGTGCAGATGGGAGAACCTTCCAGAAGGACAACCATCTCGGCAGCACTCCACCAATCAGGCCTTTATGGTAGAGTGGCCAGACGGAAGCCACTCCTCAGTAAAAGGCACGACAGCCCGCTTAGAGTTTGCCAAAAGGCACCTAAAGGACTCTCAGACCATGAGAAACAAGATTCTCTGGTCTGATGAAACCAAGATTGAACTCTTTGGCCTGAATGCCAAGTGTCACGTCTGGAGGAAACCTGGCACCATCCCTACTGTGAAGCATGGTGGTGGCAGCATCATGCTGCGGGGAGGTTTTTCAGCGGCATGGACTGGGAGACTAGTCAGGATCGAGGGAAAGATGAACAGAGCAAAGTACAGAGAGATCCTTCATGAAAACCTGCTCCAGAGCGCTCAGGACCTCAGACTGGGGCGAAGGTTCACCTTCCAACAGGACAACGACCCTAAGCACACAGCCAAGACAACGCAGGAGTGGCTTCAGGACAAGTCTCTGAATGTTCTTGAGTGGCCCAGCCAGAGCCTGGGCTTGAACCCGATCTAACAACTCTGAAGAGACCTGAAAATAGCTGTGCAGCGACGCTCCCCATCCGACCTGACAGAGCTTGAGAGGATCTGCAGAGAAGAATGGGAGAAACTCCCTAAATACAGGTGTGCCAAGACTCGAGGCTGTAATCGCCGCCAAAGGTGCTTCAACAAAGTACTGAGTAAAGGGTCTGAATACTTATGTAAATGTGATATTTCCGTTTTTTTTATTTTTAATACATTTGCAAACATTTCTAAAAACCAGTTTTTGCTTTGTCATTATGGGGTATTGTGTGTAGATTGTGTGTGGTCCTCTGTAGCTTAGCTGGTAGAGCACAGCGCTTGTAACGCCAGGGTAGTGGGTTCGATCCCCGGGACCACCCATACACAAAAATGTATGCACGCATGACTGTAAGTCGCTTTGGATAAAAGCGTCTGCTAAGTGGCATATTACTACTATTACTAGATTGATGAGGGAAAAAAAAACATTTAATCAATTTTAGAACAAGGCTGTTACATAACAAAATGTGGAAAAAGTCAAGGGGTCTGAATACTTTCCGAATGCACTGTATATTGAAATAGTTTTAGGTTACTCCTAATGATCATGATCACGGCTGTTTTGGCTTCTTCTGTAGAAGGGACTGATTGTAAGTCTCTTTGGATAAGAGCATCTGTTAAATTACTCTAATGTAAAATGTAACACAGGTAGGCAACACCAGTCTGCCATGATCGTGAGATGTGGTATGCAAAATGTAACACAATGTAGTCAGAGCTAGTCTACCCATGAGAAAAGCAGTTCTGATCCCCCTACCTCCCCTCCCAGATTTTACCCTTCAGTTGAACAGCATGATTAATGTACACCTTCCACTGGTGTTTCTTCTAATTGCCTGCCCACTCTGCTCAACCAGCATAATGCATACGCACACAATGGGAGTAGAGAGAGGGAGGGAGAGAGCGAGAGATTGAGAGAGAGATAAGGAGAGAGAGAGAGGGGAGAAAGAGAGGCTCCGTTCAGGCAGGTGCTTACCATTTCTCCACGCATTAATCATTCTTCTTTCAATAACCTGGGTGCATCCCAAAAGGCACCCTATTCCCTATTTAGTGCACTACTTTTTAGCCAAGGCTCTGGTCAAAAGTAGTTCACTATATAGGGAATAGGACGCCCACTCAGCCAGACAGCTGGTTTCCTGGAGGATGCTCTGACTGCCACGGTTGCTTGACAACAACACGTTGAACAACTTTTTAATGTTATCTGTGAAACCCACCAGCACCAAGGTGTTTGTGAACGTAGTTCTTCCTCCCGGGATGGAGGCGGGGTCTTTGACCTTCCACACAATCATTTAAGTCTTTTGTCTTGTTTTCAATGAATGGAGCATAGACTAGACTACCTAAGACTGAGGCTCAGACATTACCATACATGAATATTATTCATGCTTGCTTATCAACGGGCAGGTAGGCTATTCGAGTGGTGGGATTATTTTTCTGGGACCTGTACCTTTCTTTCAATATCAACAACCTTATGTTGTTTTTAGTATTACATTGTTATTGATTACTGCATTGTTGGGTTTAGAGTTTGTAAGAAAGGCATTTCCCTGTACTTGTGCATGTGAAAACATTAAAAACTTGTAAACTCATAAAAATATATTTATTTTTTATTATGGGAACACACCTCACTAATCCTATCAGATCTTAAAGTTCTAGGATCATTAAGCAAAGTAATGAATTAGGCCTACGTCAGCATGCAAATAAAGCTATTTTACATACTTCTCGCATTTTCCCCGTCAATGCATAATGATGAATTAGCATTTTGTCAGCCTTTATAATTGATGTAGAGCTGTTTCTGCTTAGTCTGGCTCAGCAAAGCAAACGCCTGGCTGACTATACACCACCATCTCAAATTAAACAAGTGTAATTTCTGCCTTTTTGTTTCAACATTGCCAACACTGTTTATATCATACAATAAGGAGGGGTAGTTTAAACGTATTTAAAGTCATATCTTTAAATCTATTGGCTAAGGATGAGACAAATCACACATGACATCTGAACGGAGAACATCATCGGGGACCAGTTGTGTGTTGGGGACCTGTGTTGGTGTCCAGGGATTTGATGGGCACATCAACATTGGCTGTGGTATTGAATTTCACAGTAATTTGAAGATCAGGTAGGAGAAGCAACAACACAGTCTGTCTGTCTATTGATCTGTTGTAACACCAGCGTCGGCGTGGCAACCCTTACAAGTGGCCCCAGCAGACACTTACAATAACACTTTAGATGGATGACACGTGATGTACTTCGCACAACCTCATTCAAATTTAATTTTTAAACCAACTGACATTATGCCCGAGTGGATCGCAATGTAACTGACACTACATTATCATAAGCAGATTAGTATCAGGCTCCCAGCCTTTCTAAATTGCATTTTTAATATTACAAATAAATTGGCATCACCTTAATTCAAAACCAGGCTACATATTGATGCGAGATGGGCAATCAAACAACCTGATTCTCTATTAGAAGTATAATTTCTAAACTATTTACTAGAGTTCTTCAATACAAACATGTCCACCTCTGTCCACTGACGGTGTCCTAAAAGACAAACCAAACCTTGACAGCCGATGTGTGTGTTGCTCTGATCTGCCTCAGCCTCTGGTCCCACTACAACAACTCCAACACAGTACCTGGCCCTGCTCTCCTGATTGCTAACAGCTTGCATCACTAGTCTCCAGGGAGAAACCGTACACAGAGCTCAACACAGCCCTGATAGTGTTTACTGTCACATTGATGCCTCCAACATATTGACTGGATGACCCATCCTCACAGTACAGCACTTCTACTGTCCCTGTATTGATCTACTGCTTCATCACTACATCGTCAGGCTGACTCCTCTGACCTGACTGCCTGCCCCCCGGGATTCTTACATCCACTGACTGACTGACTGGCTGGCTGACTGGCTGGGACTGACGGGGGAGTAGTCTGGCTCTGGCCAGCCCTTTGTTCTGCTGTGAGGCTGAGGTGATTCAGGCTACAGGGTTAATACAAATTGGAACTATTTTTTGTTGCTTTGAAAGTAAAATGACTTAGTGAGCACATAAACTGTGCTTCTGCTTACTATTTGGGGCCTTGGCCGGGTTACTGTAAAGTACTTTGTGACAACACTGTTGATGTAAAAAGGACTTTATAAATAAATTGGATTGATTGATAACCAGTTCACTAACAACCACCTACCTTCCATTCTTTGATAGGGCGAATTTGACCCCCTCCTTTTGGAATGGCATCAGTCTCTGTTGTAGCTTGTCTGGGAGGACTGACAACTGACTGTCCCATCTCCTGTCAACATGAGAGTTATGGGGGTTACAATCCATATCCTGGTCCTCACTCATGGCCCGTCTTGACTTTGACATGCCTTGGCAGAGAATGAAAAGAGAGAGCGAAAAAACACAACAGTAAGAAGAAAAACCAACCCTTGCTGACAATTTATCATCAGGGCTTTGGCATTTAGATGTAATGCAGAACTACTCAAAGTTTCCCTCATGTGGCTCAGTTGGTAGAGCATGGCGCTTGCAACGCGAGGGTTGTTGGTTCGATTCCCACGGGGGGCCAGTATTGGGGGAAAAGTATGAAAATGTATGCACTCACTACTGTAAGTTGCTCTGGATAAAAATGTCAATTTAAAATGTCTTCAGTAGTGTTTTACAGCTTGGTGATGCACCAGGTCTCAGCTCTGCTGTCATCTCAATACATTTATTTACCTGCGACAATGTCAGGAACAGGTTGCCGAACTGCCGCTTGTAGAGGGAGAGGCACAAGATGACCGCTCCTCTACTCTTATTGGTAAGGTGCTAAGAGACTGCTGGGTTACCCAGTGAGAGGATATCTGGTAAGGTAAGAAGACAAAGAAAGAGAAGACTATTCAGCCAGGTTTCAAGGTGATATTTATGCTAGGAAGGATATTAGGGATACAGTTGCAGCATCTGTCCACAGATTGCATTACAAGAGGATGGTTACAAAGGTACTCTGACAAATATGGTTACATTAACTTCCACAGTAGTTAACTAGCTAGCTATGCACAGCAAATTCCTCCACGTTTTTAGCTAGCTACATCTCAACCCAATGCAATCAATGTACAAGAGATGATACATGCTAAGGCTTGGCACTTGTTAGTTTGAAAATACATTATTATTAAAAGGATACAGACCACCAGTGCAGAAATGTTTTGATACAGACTTGCATGTGCAGAAGTTTCGCGGGAAACTTTGACAGTAGCTACGTGGTTTCCGTAGCGGATTCCATATGAGTTGCGTTCAAGACAAGAAGCCTGCAACTTTCTTAATCTTGACTAAAAAACGGTGTTTTTTCCCACGATACTTTTCTAAGTAGGTTCAAATGCATATCGACTTTTCTTTCAAACTCAAAAGCATGCTCAATACATCTCATTTTTAGCAGTACATGCCCCCTACAGTAGAACGATCACTGGACGCTCACTCGGATTTGCTGGGCAAACTGTCAGTTCGGATGCTTCCTGCTGCACTCTCCACTTTCCTGGATTTGCTGTTTCGTCTTGTGCCGAATGTTAGCAGCTAACCTCGGTCTGTTGCCGCTACACATTGATCATTGCCGTGGGCACACGCAGCTACAGCTGTTTTTATAAATCATTCTGTTTTGTCAACGTTTCTGGTAAGACAACATGTGTTTGTTTCTTCGCACACTTTCTTGGTGGGGATTAAAGGTGAATTTGTGTAGTTACGTTATCAAATTAGAAGTTTAGGGGCAAATTTAGCTAGCTAAGTTAGCTAACTAGCTAAGGAATCATTTGTTGAGCTAAAGGGCTACGTTAGCTGACTAGCTAGTTAGCTTGATGGCTAGCTAGCTAAACTCAAAGGAATTCAAAGTTAAACTTGACACAGGCAAGATATGTATCCAAGTTAGCTATAATAAGATAGTTGTGTTTGGATGGCAACAATACAAACAAGTCATTGTTAACGAGCTAGCTAAAATAGCTATCATTTATCGTGATTAGCTACATAGCTTCCTCGGTAGGGCTGCGAAGTAAGGCCTCGTTTGCCTGATCAATGCTTTGCAAACTCGCTGTAGTTAACACTGGTAACTAGCTAGTTATGTATGCATTTTAGGCATGCAGGAATGATACCTCTGTACAAACTAAATATGAATGTTTGAAATAGGTGGTATAACACTGTTCTAGCTAGCTCTCTAGTTAGTAGACCTAAGGAACACTAACGTTATATCCTGCAATTTGTGCCTTTGGAGTAACTTTTTATTAGCGCGCTAGCTGTCCGCTAATGGCAGCCCAGTATTACTTGGCAATTGTTCACGTTCACCAGCCTGTATCAATCAAGGCGAGAATAAATAGCATGCTAAGATGGTGGAGAGAACAACGTTGCTCCCCAGACCGAGGTACCTATTGAGACCATCCACAAGAGGTGTCCTTCCACCGCAGTTCTCTAACCCTTTCACAATACACACACAGAACACTCCTTCACATAGTCCTTGAGCTCTGGTGCAATTTGTCAGTTCATAATTGGAGCATGGACACCATCTTAATTCAAGGCATGTCATGACCATGACGCTAAAGCCCCACTAGCTATTTGGGCTAATTGTGTTTGACATATTCTGCATGACCCTTCTCTTCATGTATCATGTTCAGCAGTCCTCATATCGCGTGCTATTCCTCTTGTCAGACAGGATGAGGTGCTGAAAGAACGGTCATTGACAGCGCTCGTCTTCAGACTTTCATTCTAAAGTAGTGAATGTAGCCTAAAGTAGTAACTTTGAATCACTATCAGGCCACCAATAACGTGTAATTTGATTGCCGATTTACATTTGCTCAATTTGCTGGTATCTCACTATGCAGGCCTTCCTACAGTAGTTATGGTGCCTACCATTGGCTTGGCTGGCATGATGAAGTGTGTTTTGTTCTACTAGAGTAAATAATAATAATATGCCATTTAGCAGACGCTTTTATCCAAAGCGACTTACAGTCATGTGCGCATACATTTTTACGTATGGGTGGTCCCGGGGATCGAACCCACTACCCTGGTGTTACAAGCGCCATGCTCTACCAATTGAGCTACAGAGGACCACAATAGGTGTCATCTTGTCAGCTCAGTATCTTTCCTACCTCTTCTATAATGAGGACGCAGCGATGCTTACTAGTCTACTACAGGAGAGTTCCCCTGCTGTCTGTCGACCCAAGGGAGGCTCATTAGGATTGTGTTATGATATTGCCATAAATTGAGAACTTGGTGGGCATTCTGTGGTGGGGAAATATATCCCTATCTAAGCACATCCGTCACTTCTCACAGCAAATTAGAACGCCTAATAGGCTAATGTATGAAGCGTTGCTGAGACGCCTCAGTTTTGTAGAAATGGTGGTCCCTTTTTTGTCTGGCTTTGGAGTTCACTAATCAAAGAGGAAACGCTCCAGTTAGCCAATAGCTAAGATGCAGAACCCCACTGTTTTTTTTTTTGATGAGTAGTTATTTTTTTCTGTAAACATTAGGGCTATATCTTGGTTTGAGAGTCCAGACTTATTCTAGGCTACAGTTTTATAACTTTCACTGCCGTATTGTATTTTCATATCTATTTCTAATGTCAAGGAGGCACACTTCCTACCTCCTGCCTGAGGTATTAACTATCTATCCTTGTTGTCTAGTGCTGCCATTAATAATTCTGAGACAAGGCTCAATGATTCTGCTTTCAGAGCTAGAGGCTCTACTGTTAGGAGTGCAGTGACACAACTCTTGATTTATGTCCAAATTAGGGGTGTAAATTCAGAATATTGAATAGCCTGACGCTGTGTAACTTCTACTGAAGAAATGTAATAACTAAGTCAATTCCTCAGGTGTGTGTGTGCGCAAGCGTGCGTGTGTGCATTTGTGTGTGAGGGGGAGGGGGTCATGATAAAATTGTACCCTAAATGCTTTATGTTCCTATCCAACTTTCTCCTCATGATAGTGACAGACAGACATCGTTGTTTCTCTTTGTTTCTCGATGATGTTAATAAAAGGAGACCACTGGCTGTTTGCTAGGCTGTTGGGTTTATGAGATTCAGTGACCGCGTTGGTGGCGTAGCTACTACAGTTGAACTTGTGATCAGATCAGTTGTCACCAGCGTCTGTTGCTAAGGGACAGGGAGAGCTTTCCTCCTCCAACCCTGACCAGTATCTATTATTTACTTCGGTTTTTAAGGGATTCAATGAGTGGAACAAATAACATGATTTCCCTTATAACTACGTTTTTATATACAATCACTGAACATCCCCATTAATTAGTAGCACTTTATTAGAGCCGTTTAATAACATACTACAATTGACTTGATCATATTTTCTGTAGTTAGTTGTAGGGCTGGGCGGTATACCGTATTTTACGATATACCGGTATTGATGCATGGACCGGTTTGGGTTTTTAACTTTACCTTCAGTCTGCATGGTCAATGCAGAACATGCAACAATGTTGATGACGACGATGCTGTTTTCACTTTGCTTCTTAATATAAATCCACTATTGTTCTATAATTACACAATTAGTTAGTGTTTGTTACATCTGCAAACATCTAGTTTGTCTTAGCAAGTTGTGCCTAAATCTTGTTTGCCGCTAATCGCTAGTTAGCTGGCTATCTAATAAATGTACTGAGTCAGAGCAAATGTAATTAGCTGTACAGCCCTGATACTACCAGTGATGGGTTAGACCTAAATCAGCATGTTTTTGCAACAGTATCTTCTAAATCAAAGAGGAAAAGATTATAGGGTCCCCTAGGAAACACTTATCAACACTTTGGTTCCTACCCTGTCACAATAACTCCTCCCTGGCATTTTCATTCGTCGTCATGTCAAACTACACTGTATTCAAAGTGCCCACTATTATAGAATTAGAATATTCATTCTATTTCCATGATTCCAACGGGTCACAAGTATTTTGCTCTAAATCGTGAGTCAAATCACAATTGCAACATTTGGTTAAAAATAAGGCCTAGATTGTTAGCCTATATCATGCAGCCCTAGGTGGCAGTGTGGAAATGATCTGAAATGAGTACAGGAAATGCAGAAATGTATGAAAATGCTGAGAATTATTTTTAGTTGAATTGAACAGTGTTAAATAATCAGAATGGCGAAAGACCATTGAAATCAATTAGAATGTATGTGTTGCCACCCTAGGGTCACGCACTACTCATAAAGAAGTACCATAATATATTTGGGCCATATTGCTCAGCCCTAGTTGGTTGGAGCAGTCTTGTGTCTTGTCTCCGTCTGGTTGAAAAATACCCAACTGTAATGGGCAAGGTCCACTTTGAACAGCCTGTCCTTTCATTGGACATCTACCTCCCTCCCATGGTGTGTCCTGTTCTCTCATTGGCCATCCATATTCTCCCATGGTGCATGGTTTGTCC